ACTAGTCCCAGTCGGGGTGCCGGATTCTGTCCCAGTTGCCCCCCTTCCAGGCCAGCTCTCTGCTGTGGCCCGGGAGTGCAGTGGAGGATGGCCCAAGCCAGGAAGAGATCTGGGACTTGATCCCAGCTACACTGATAACGGGATTCAGGCATCCCAAGCAGCATCTTTAATTAACTGCTGCACCAAATGCCCACTCCAGGACTGAGTACCCTGACTCTGCTTTTCTGTTTCCTGAGAAATTGGGTCATGTTCTTTTGCCCTTAGTTTTTGTGTAGCTGCTTAATGTTCAGTGACTTCTATATTTCTTGAAGCCTGGTTTTGCTTGGTTGTGAAGATAGCAGTAAGGGAATAGCGTTAGTATCAAGGTCTTTTGGAGGTAGATTTAGATTCAAGTCCATTATTTACTAATAGAGGTAGAGGGATGTGGGTGTCATGTGTTCCTTTAGTCCCATGTATTTTCCGTTCTGGGATGTGTTAAATCAGGGTAGTAATAATCACTTTGTAAGTTACTGTATCAAAGGAGAATGATGTTGCAGCTCTTGGGCCCATGCTGTTCCAGAGTAGTAATGTGATAATAGCAAAGGAAAAAACACCCTGTGCTAAGGGCCTCACAGGAATTATCTCAGTGAGTCTACACCTGTTGTATGGGTGCAATGAAATGTAACCTGCCTGCGGTTTCACAGCTCATGTAAGTGGTACAGCAGAGTCTGAGTCCACATATGGCAGAACCAGCATTTCTGAAAGCTATATTTTGTGATGCAACCACAGTTTTCCCTTCTGATTTTGGCATAGTGAAAAATACATCTGTGAGGTCTTCATGAATGAAGTTTAATTTAAAGGACTGTTAATTCTTTTTTTTTTTTTTTGGACAAGCAGAGTGGACAGTGAGAGAGAGAGGCAGAGAGAAAGGTCTTCCTTTTTGCCGTTGGTTCACCCTCCAATGGCCGCCTCGGCTGGCGCGCTGCGGCCGGCGCACCACACTGATCCGATGGCAGGAGCCAGGTACTTCTCCTGGTCTCCCATGGGGTGCAGGGCCCAAGCACTTGGGCCATCCTCCACTGCACTCCTGGGCCACAGCAGAGAGCTGGGCTGGAAGAGGGGCAACCGGGACAGAATCCGGCGCCCCGACCGGGACTAAAACCCGGTGTGCCGGCGCTGCAAGGCGGAGGATTAGCCTAGTGAGCCGCGGTGCCGGCCCAGGACTGTTAATTCTAAATCAGTTATACTTTTTTTTGCTGTCGAATTTTCACTTTTCTGAAATTTGACAATAGTATGTTATGTGAATTATATTGTGTACTCAGTATAGATAATAGATACTTATAGTTTTTTATCATTGTGTTTGACAAGGTAAGTATTCATACATAGCCAATTTTTTTTTTTAAAGATTTATTTATTTGAAAAACAAGAGAGAGGTAGAGACAGGTCTTTCATCCGCTGGTTCCCTCTCGCAATGGCTGGAGCTGTGTGGATCTGAAGCCAGGAGCTTCTTCCAGGTCTCCCACATGGGTGCAGGGGCCTAACGATTTGGGCCATCCCCCACTGCCTTCCCCAGGCCATAGCAGAGAGCTGTATTGGAAGAGGAGCAGCCGGGACAAGAACCAGCGCCCATATGGGATGCTGGTGCTGCAGGCCAGGGTTTTAACCCGCTGTGCCACAGCGCCGGCCAAGATTTATTTATTTATTCATTTATTCATTCATTTATAAATCAAGAGTTACACAGAGAAAGAGAGGTCTTCCATCCACTGGTTCACTCCCCAGTTGGTTGCAACAGCTGGAGCTGTGCCGATCCAAAGCCAGAAGCTAGTAGCTTCCTCTGGGTCTCCCACACGGGTGCAGGGGCCCAAGGACTTGGGCCATCTTCCACTGCTCTCCCAGGCCATAGCAGAGAGCCAGATTGTCAGTGGAGCAGCCGGGACTTGAACTGGCATTATGTACATGTGGGATGCTGGCACTGCAAGTGGTGACTTTACCCGCTACACTACAGTGCCAGCCCCAATAGCCTATTTAAAAAAAAATTATTTATTTATTTGAGAGGCCAAGTTACAGAGGGAGAGACAGAAAGAGGTCTTCCATCCGCTGGTGCACTTCCCAGATGGCTGAAACGGTCAGAGCTGGGCCAATCCGAAGCCAGGAGCTTCCTCTGGGTCTCCCACATGTGTTCAGGGGCTCAAACACTTGGGGCATCTTCCACTGGTTTCCCAGGCCTTTAGCAGAGAGCTGGATCAGAAGAGGAGCAGCTGGGGCTCAAACCAGCATCCATATGGGATGCTGGCTCTACAAGTGGAGGCTTAACCTATGCCACAGCGCTGGCTCCTATAGCCCATTTAGAACTTTTTGTTTGGTTCTATCTTAATTTTTAAAAGTTACTTCTTTATTTTCTTAATTATTTGATAGGAAGAGAGAGACAGATAGATCTTCATCCTGTGGTTCACTCCCTGAATGTCCACAATATCTTGGGCTTGGCCAAGTGAAAGTCTGGAGCTGGGAACTTAATTGGCATTTCCATTGTGCATAGCAGGGACCCAAGTCCTTGGACTGTCCTACTGCCTCCCAGGGCATAAATTAGGAGGAAGACTGGAATTGGGAGCAGAGCTGGGCTTGGAAGCCAGGCATTCCTGTGATAGGGGATGTGCTCGTCCCAAATGAGGTTCCAATGGCTACATCAGATGTCCACCCCCAACTTTTGTTTTTTTTTGACATTTGAAATTTAAAGGATTTAAAACAGTGGACATTAAGTAAGTTTGTAAATCAGCAAGATACTAAATGTTATTTCTACCAAATGGATTCTTGATACATAGAGGATGGGCCCAAGTATCCATTAAGTTGGACTGCGCTGTGAAAAAAGGTGAAAGAGAGAAAGGCTGTAGGGAGCTGCTGTCTGGGGCTGTAGAGGAAGGTGTGGCCTGGGGTCTTGGGGAGAGAGAGGCCCTGGTCTCCTGAGCTCTGGTTGGAGATTGTCCAAGGCTTTCTGTTCTCTGACTTTGTTTCTACCCTTACCTCCTGGCAGGTCTTGGAACCTTCTTTCCGTCAGGCTTTTCCGAATACCAACCGCTGGTTCCTCACCTGCATTAATCAGCCCCAGTTTCGGGCTGTCTTGGGGGAGGTGAAACTGTGTGAGAAGATGGCCCAGTTTGATGGTAAGTCTGAGGAGGTGGAGCAACACGCGGCCAGAGTCCACTGCTTGATTTCTTGTCTAGCCTTTGGGTTATGGGCACCTGTAGCATGTAGGGTATCATGCACAGTAGCTGATATTTTGTCAAGTTTGTCCATGTACCCACTCAGTTGCATTAGCACGTTGAATTGTGATATAGCATGTCTTTGTGGCTGAGGGTTGTGTCTTTGCTCAGGGACATTGAGTAAACTGGTGGCAGGCAGTTTCCTTGTCCCTTCCATCAGCTGTCCCTTAGTTCCCTGTGCTGCCTGTTTTTGGAGGACTATGGGAAGAGATAAGGTGATCACTTTTCTTTTTTCCTGTGTACCAGCTAAAAAGTTTGCAGAGAGCCAGCCTAAAAAGGACACTCCACGGAAAGAGAAAGGCTCACGGGAGGAGAAGCAGAAGCCCCAGGCTGAGCGGAAAGAGGAGAAAAAGGCAGCTGCCCCAGCTCCTGAGGAAGAGATGGACGAATGCGAGCAGGCACTGGCTGCTGAGCCCAAGGCAAAGGACCCCTTTGCCCACCTGCCCAAAAGGTAAGGACATTGGCGAGAAGCCTGTTCTCGCCTCTGTAGTCTCCATTCATCGCTGCTGCTGCCAGAATTTTTATTTGTAAATAGAGCAACTCTCTGACCTTATGCTGAACTATTGAGCACATTCCGGAAGTCAAAAGCAAGTCCTGAATACATCTGATACTTGGGAAGATTGCAACTCCCCTTTTAGTGGAGAGAAGCGGGGACAGTTCAGTGTGGAGGTCAACCAATCGTGAGCTGCTTGTTAAGAGCATCTGAGACCCCAGAATCCCGGGCAGTGAGAGGCGCAGGGAGGAGGAGGTGCAGAGGGACTTGCTGAGGTGTGGGCGTCAGAGCAGGATCCTTTGGTTTCTCCCTGCCCACCCGGTTTTGATGAATCAGGTGGTAATGAAAGTTGCTCATTAAGAGAAGGGGTGGTGATCATGGCTAAAATTGGAGGGGTTGTGTCTCCAAGGAACTTCTTCATCTGCATCCTCTATTCAGTAAATGTAGGGAGTCTTAGGAAAAAGAATGTGGAGAAAGGGATATTTTTGGTGTGAAGGTGGAGGGCATCGTGTGCTTGCCCAGTTGTCTGCCCTAAGCCATTTTACTGGGAATTAGGGCCAATGGGAGAAACATCTTCCCTGGTCACTTCTAAGCTTTTCAGCCCAATCAGTCTGCTGTTCCCAAAGCCTCCAGTCTGCATGGTCTGTTTAGGGTTCACGTGTGGCACCACTGCCCCCTGCATTTTCCAGTCCTTCCGGTCTGAGGTGGAGCATGGAGGGGCACCATGTTGTTGTCACAGTAGCTGTGTGTCAGATTGTAGATGACAAGCATCACGCTAATGGGCAGCAGCAAGTTAGAGGGGGCTGAGAGGTGTTACTTCAAGGTACTTTCTGTGCAAGACCAAAAAACTAATTACTAAGATTGCATATGCTGTTACACAAACATTGCTAATTATTAGAGAGTTTCATATGTAATAGGTTTCTCCTTTGGTAAGAAAATAGATCAAGCGGTAAACTTGAAATCTTCAATAGACTTATGCTTTTGCGTGTTCACTCTTACCTGTTGCAGTGTAGTGATGCTCTCCCCCGGGAGTTTTGGTGTCACAAAGGTGGTACCCTTGAAGATGAAGACTGTCTTTTTTTTTTTTTTTTTTTTTTTAAGATTTATTTATTTTTGAGCCCAGGCACATTAGCAGGGAGCTGGATTAGAAGTGGAGCAGTCAGTACTCATGGGATGCCAGCATCATAGGAGTGGCTTTACCCACTATGCCACAATGCACTCCCTAAAGACTTATTTATTTATTTATTTGAAAATTAGAGTTTTTGAGAGGAGGGATCCATCTTCAGCCACTGATTCACTCCCCAAATGGCTGCAACGGCAGGGGCTGGGTTAGGCTGAAGACAAGAACTTCATCCAGGTCTCCCACTTGGTTAGCAGGGGCCCAAACATTTGGGCCATCCTCTGCTGCTTTGCCTAGGCCATTAGCAGGGAGCTCTGTTAGAAGTGGAACCGCTGGAACTCGAACTGGTACTCACATGGGATGCCAGCATTGCATGGGTCAGCTTTACCTGCTATGCCACAATGTCAGCCCCAGAGACTTCTATCCAGAGTTTAGTTCTATTTTTTTTTTCAATATGATTCAGCTAAACTCATTTGAGGAGCCTGTGGTTACCTGAAAAAAAAAAAAAAAAATTTGATCCATGAATAATAAAGTTGAAACAGTTCAGGGGTATGAGAAAATCCCATCTAACTTTTGGGGTGGTTGAGGTTTCTCAAAGCTCCTCAGATCAGGTCTCTGGGACCTGGGATCCTAGGGTTAGAGGACAGTTTCTGCTTTGCTGCAGTGTAGCCTGGGACAAGTCTGTAAAGAGGGGAGAATAGGGGTAAAGGGCTGTTGGTGATGTCCATGCTGATAATTGAACCTATTAAATATCTACCGTTCAGGGTTCAGTAGGTTCATGGCACATTTCGTGTAGTAGAGGACTGTTTAGCCATTAAAATGTTGGCAAAGAGTTGTTTGAAAATTATGTTACAGAAATGTATTTTTAAGGTTTTTGTATTATTATAATTGTACGTATTCATGGAGTACAGTGTGATAATCCACTTATGATATGTGGTGAGCAAATCAATCTAGTTAGCATTTCCAGTAAAGAATTCATAATAGCATGTCACAGTATTAGCAAAAAGGAAGGCACAAAACTGCATATGTCATGCTTGTATCTGGTCAGAGGAAAATGTAAAAATTGAATTATCCTGTTTACTGGCATTAAAGTCAGCATATATATTTGAAATTGGAAAGAAAAAGTAGAACTTCTAGTGATGCTGGCACTCTTGGCTCAGTGTGCCAGACTTCCTCCAAGATAAGCTGAACCTGAAGGTTCTCAGCATGCGAACTTGTTTGGGGGCAGAGCGGGACTGAAGGGCGTGGGTATAGATTTTAGGTGGAGGCCCTCTGCTTGCATTCCTGTTGCAGCTTGTGTAACCTGAAGAGGTCTGGGGAAGACTTGGGTGCGTCAGTGACTGAATGTGGCTCATGGAAAACTGCCCAGGGAGGGGCTGGACAGGGAGGAAAGGGAGCCCTTACGCTTTGTCTCCACCTGGGGGCAGCAGTTAGCCATGTCCTTACTGGAGCAGGTCTCACTGGGTCCCCCACTCGGTTCCACCCTCCACGTGCTTAGCATGCTTAGGCAGGGAAGTGTCCTAGGCTCCCGTTCACACCCCTCTGCTTGGCTCTCTTCCCTCATAAGGTTATACATACCTGCTGGGCCAGCAACCGCTTCCTTTGAACCAGTAACAGTGAAGTGAGAACACCCTTAGCTTCTAGCAGGCAATGCTCTTGTCTCCGTAGGACCTTAGTGACTGCCTCGTGTTTCCTTTCAGTACCTTTGTGTTGGATGAGTTTAAGCGCAAGTACTCCAATGAGGACACTCTCTCTGTGGCGCTGCCATATTTTTGGGAGCACTTTGACAAGGATGGCTGGTCTCTGTGGTATGCTGAGTACCGTTTCCCTGAGGAGCTCACGCAGACTTTCATGAGTTGCAACCTCATCACTGGTGAGAAGAAGTGCAGTGGGAAGGGGAAGGAGGACAGGGTGTGAGCGATGCGATTCTAAAGGCGGAGTGTTCTCCTCTGTCACTTCAGGAATGTTCCAGCGGTTGGATAAGCTGAGGAAGAATGCCTTTGCCAGTGTCATCCTCTTTGGAACCAACAATAGCAGCTCCATTTCTGGAATCTGGGTCTTCCGAGGCCAAGAGCTTGCCTTTCCGGTGAGGAGCGTGGAGGGGAGGAGCCTCTTGAAGGTGGGGCAAGGATTTGGGAAGCAGAATACTTTATTCCTGGGCCATGTGGCGCTCAGGAGAGTTTAGGAATGTGTATGGGAAGGAGCTACTCACACTCGCCGTCCTGGCCTGATGACTTGTGTCTAAGATGAAAGTACCACAGGTGTGGGACAGTGTCCCATAGTCTGACCACATGCTTCTTTGGCTTTCTGTCCCCAGCTGAGTCCAGATTGGCAGGTGGACTACGAGTCGTATACGTGGAGGAAACTGGATCCAAGCAGCGAGGAAACCCAGACGCTGGTTCGAGAGTACTTTGCCTGGGAGGGGGCCTTCCAGCATGTGGGCAAAGCCTTCAATCAGGGCAAGGTCTTCAAGTGAATGCCTCTTGCCATCGCCTAGCTGCCTGCACCTGCCCTTCAGGGAGATGGGGGTCATTAAAGGAAACTGAACATTGAACCCTTCCTGTCCTGCCTCCTTTGTGAGTGGTGGCTTCTGCACAGGGGACTAGATGTGTCCAAGCAGGGCGTTTTCTATGTCTGAAGTACCTCCATTTGCCACAGAGAAGTCTTCAGAAGAGCGGAAGTGGAGGACTGTCCTCCTCTGGGTTTGTTGCTCTGCCTTCTACAGTGGTGACTGTCTTGTAGCTGGGAAAGATGGGAAGCACGTGGAGTGGGTAGCGATGTGGGGCTTTGGGTTGTTGTTAAATTTATTATTTGAAAGGCAGAGTTACAGAGCAAGATCTTCATCTGCTGGTTCACTCCCCCAAATGGCCGCAATGGCCGGGGCTGGCTGAAGCCAGCCGTCAGGAACTTCATCTGGGTCTCCCACGTGCATGGCATGTGCCCAAGTACTTGGGCCATCCTCTTCTGCTTTCCTAGGAGCATTAACATGGAGCTGGATCAGAAGTAGAGCAACCAGAACATGAATCGGTGCTCATGGGATGCTGGTGTCCCAGGGGGCTTAATCCTCTGTGCCTTAACATGGGACTCTGTAACTACCTGATTCTTAGGGATCGGATTCCAGGTCCTCCTCAGTGGAGAGAGGGAATCCCTGCTAATAATGCCAAGGGTTGTATGTAACTAAGGGGACCTTGCCATTACAGTCAGCCCTAGCTCTGCAGGGGATTGATTCCAGGATGGGATCCCAGAATTCACTAACGATAGCGTCCCTTACATGAAGGGTGTATTTCCATACAACCTATATACTTAAAGTCATCTCTGAATTACTAATGTGACCTAATCCAGTGCACATGCTACGTTTTATAATGTATTCTAATCACTTCTTGGCCTTTTGGCTAAGATTGAGTGTGTATATTCTATAAGACGACGTGTTCAGTGTAGGGGCTATTTTTGATCTATAGTTGGTTATGGCCGTAGATGCACAATGTGGGAGTTTGGAAAGTGGACTGCTCTTGGAGGGTGGTGGCCATATCCAAGAGTCATAGTTTAAATGCCTCAAGCACTGTAGGGAGACCAGGCGCAAACCAATCAGCAGACCTTGGCCTGTTGGCCCTAATGGTGTCTATCAGCTCCCATATCTCTGCTTTCTAACAAGGAAGTAGGGGTTCAGCGATTGTGCTGCCTGCCTGCCTGTGGTCACACCTGACTGGTAGAGGCAAGGTTTTGAACCTAGAAGGTAACGGTGAGCCAGCCCTGCTACCGCCTAGAACACGAGGTGCTTGTGATTGTCTAACGCCCTGCTCGGACCAGTGGTTCCCATTTCTAACTCTGAGCTGATTTGATGCCCTATTCAGATTCTTGCTCTCATGGTCTTTTTCTGAAGAGCAACGAAAATCTCCCTATCCTAACAGTTCAAGTGACATTGGAAATCTTAGTTGGATCCATGTGAAGCAGAGGCAATCATGACTGCTCTCTGGGTTTGGGAAGATGTTGACTTTACCAGGTCCGGATAAGGGCTGGGAGCTTGGGAAGGAATAGGCTGTAATCTGGCTGGCATTTGACCTGTAGCTGGGGTTCTGTGAGTGAGTGGGCAGAGGAGAGCTGGGGCTTGCAATCCAGACAGGTGGGGATAGGTTGGTTCTTGCTCAGGCTCTGCTCCCTGGCACCTCAGCTTGTGTTGGATCCAAACTTGATACTTGTCTTGCTTCTGACATTCTGGACTCCTCATAACGCTAGCATCTGGAAGTGCTAGATGCTGGCTTGGGGTGTGCCCCTTAGCTAGTTGCTGGGGCCTCACCAAACCTGTCAGACTCCTCCCAAATTCGTTCCCACCACACTCCCTTCTTTGTGCAATCTTTGCTACCTTCATGAAATGCCCTTAATCTTCCAGTAGCTGAAGATTTAGGCAGGAGGGGCCAAATTGGCAAAGTGGGTTTAGGTTTGAAGGGAAGGCCTAAGAAGGCCAACTGTTAAGGTGGGGTTTACTGGGTGGGCCATTGCTTAGGCAGTAGCAGGCCTGGAGACCCACGTGGGACTGGGTGGGTCTGCCTGGGGAGGGGCCAGGGACCCCCACCTCCTAGTCTCTAAGCCTGCAGGAAGAATGACTCATCTGCACATCCTGCCTTCTGTGCCTCTGGCCCTGGTGGTTTTGGTGCAGAGCAAGGGTGGCCAGGTTGTTGGATGAGGCCAGACCTGTACTTGGGGGAGGGCCAGTACCCATAAACTGGAGTGGATGGGGTTATGGCTTCATGAAGCCTGGGTTATTGGCCACTAGAGGGGGGGGGGGGTAGGAGGGCCTCTGCCTTGCCATGGTGGGCAGGGAAGAGGTTAACAGCTGTGGCAGATGGGGGGCAGGAAAGAAGGGAAGCACATCTGGAGTTTGTTCTGTCCCCGCCCTGCCCCGGGGAGGCCTGAGTCACTTTACTGCCAGCTCAGTACGCAGCCCTCATCCTGCTGGGGCCCCGCGCTGCAGCCTGGCTTTTCCCTGCCACAGCCAATTGGAGCCTGCATCACTGGACGCCTCCAGTTGCTGGGCAGTTTTCCTTGTGTGCCAGGGACGCTTGTGCCACCGGAGCACTACCCAGAGCTGGTGTCCTCATGCCACAGGGAGGCTGGGGTTCAAGGCGGGGAAGAGAGGGGGTTGTTGGCTGAGAAGGGTGTGATCTCGGAAAATGGGTCGATTGAGAGGAGTCTTCTACACTTGCAGGCAAACCCTCAGAGCGTTCACAGAGGAGGGCTGAAAGAAGTAGGAAGGGTCTGGGGCCCGGAGCTTATTGACTTCAATAAAATTCAGAGCCTAGAGTGTGAATGGGAAGGGCTGAGACTTGCTGCAGTAGATGCTGGTTATAGGCAGCTATTTATTTTAGCTTTGTTGGCACTTCTGCTTAAGTCACCTATTAAGAAGTTGAAAGCCTTTAAAGTTCTTCCAAGAAAGACCTGGAATTGTCTTCATGTCCTGCTTTGAGCTGGAGCTGGACAGCTGCTGTTCTCCCCGGGTCAGCCCCATCCCACCAGCTGCCCACATGCCCCAAATGTGCCACTTCCCCTTTTAAAGGTGGGGGGAGGGTCTAGAATGTTGGAGGGAGAGGAGTGAAGTGCTTTGGAGGCTCCACCCCATCATTTCTGAAATTAATACTGCAGTTTTCATAGCAACTGGCACTGTGTTTGCAGAACCCAGAACTTTCCCTGTGCACACGTCAGATGGAGTTTTCTGGGTGACTGTAGTTTTCTGGGCTCCCTCAGCTAGTGTGGCAACAGGCCTGTAACTCCCCCACGTTGCTGTAGTCCTCTGTGTACTTGCAGTTCTGGGGTCCCCACCCTGTTCTCTTCTTCCCCCATAAAGCTGTGGAGCTAAAATATTGGCGCTCCTGAAAGGTTAGAGAAACTGTGCCACCTGCCCTTGTCTGTTTGCTCTGATCAGTCTGGCGTGGCTCCCGGAGCAGGCCGTCGTCTTACTCCAGTGGAATTGCTGGGATGTCCCAGTGCCCCGGCACCCAAGCAAGGGCTGGGTGGAGTGGGGCATCATGGGCTTGCTGGAGACCAGCACTTGAATCCCTTGAGTCTCAGCAGAGGGCGAATACCTTGGCCAGGTGATACTGGTGTAGTGTGACCTTGGACTTTTTCAGTCCTGCAGCCCCCTTCCCACCCCTTGCCTCCTCCCCACTTTGTTTTCCTGATTTCCTCAGAATTCCAAGGGAGTCTGTTGACTCTACCTTTTTTTACACAATGGGCAGTGTGCAGATCAGGGGCTGGATGGTCAGCCAGTTCAGGGTTATTTCTGATAGGATCTCCCCTGGAATGTGCCTCTACTTCCAGCTGCCCCCACCCCTCTGCAGCAGGAGCAGCTGTCATGTGAGGGCCTCTGCGCTGGCTCAGCCCTTTTGCAATCATCTGGCTGGCTCTGCCGGGATGGGGGTGGATGCGAGGATGGGCAGAGCCAAGGGGTAAATGAGGGGACATGGCAGGGTATGGGGAGCTGCTGAAGCGTGAGGAGAGCTATGGTGCTGAGCGAGAGAGTGAGTGAGCGAGCATGAGGGAAGAAGCGTTGCCAGGGTCAGGTAGGAGGAGTGGAAGCAGCTGAGCAGGCCAGGGAGTCGCAGTGCGCTCAGGGCCCCCATCACAGGAAGTAGAGATTGGCCGCTTGCGAGGTGAAGGGGAGTTGGTTATAGCGGGCCCTCTGCCAGTCATTTTTCACGATCCACATTGCCCTTGACTCACAGGGAAGCCACAGGGTGCTTTCCGGCCAGTCCTCCTCCATGTGAGACCTGAGTCACTGAGTTGCCAGGGTGTTGGCTGCCCCATGGTGACAGTGCCTCTGCCCTGCCCTGCCCCACCCCACCCACTCCCACTGTTAGGACAGGGGTTAGGGACACACCCCTTTTATAGCGCTCTCTTCAATAGTGACTTTGACTCAGACTTCACAGAATGTACCTCATGCAATGACTGCCCGAGACTCTCAAGTTCTCTTGTTCCACGTGTGAGCAAACTGGAACCCAGAGAGGGGAAGTGACTTATCAAGGGTGCATCCAAGACTTTCCACTGTTCTTGCAGCCACTCCTTGAGTCACAGTCATGGAAACCAGCAGCTTTCTCTGAAAAGCTTAGGAGTCAGTGTGGTGGCCTCAGCACACAAGGTTTTGGAGGGCGGGGAGAGGGTGGCACTGGGAGGCTTCCAGCAGCCCAGAGGAGCTCTGTGGTCAGAAGCGGAGACGTGGAGGAGCCCCGGGCAGGGTCAGCTGCAAGCAGTCCAAATCCTGGGGCGGGCAGAGGGCACAGGACTTCGAGTGACAGGAACCTCAACTATGTGGTGACTCAGGCTCTGGGCAGCCTAGGCCCTTCCTTCCCTGCTTAGCCCGAGCTTGGGCTGAACCTGGGGAAGTGTGAGAGCTGCAGAGGGGAGGGAGGCCCGTCTTCCCTTCCCCTGGGGGAACTGGAGCTGCAGGGACCGATGGGAGGAAAAAGCAGATTCCAAGAAAGGGGCGAGGAGGCTGGTGTTCCCCGCATTCTGGGCCCCTCCCTCCTGCTCCCCGCGGGGAGGGGAGCTGGCTGCTCCCTTCATTCCAGCTCCCTCCCTCGGCCGCTGTTTACAGCTCTGCCCGCCCAGTCCCCAGTTTAGTTCTGAGCTCTTCTGTTTTTTCTCTCTCCCTCCCTCCCCTCCCAGCCGCGTGCGTGCAGTCCTGTTTTGCCGTTTCTTTTCCTTAATGTCAGGTTCACCTCTCCTCCTGTGTTACTGCTCCCACAGTGTCCCAACACTGCCCTCACTGCTACTTGGAATCCAGCATGGCCCTGGGGCCGCCCGCTCTCCTCTCCTTACCCATTTCCATTCCTTTCTCTGGCCTGGGCAGTCTTCCCTTGCCTTTTTCCTCCTGGACTCTCTGCTCCGGAGACAGAGCCTTGGGTCTCTTCTTCTGTAACCAGCTTTAACTTGGGTTCTGCTTGGGCCCGAAGATTTCATTAGGATTTAGCGTCATGGGAGAGTTTCCTGATGTCACAGCTGTCTGATCTGAGTAATTCAGGAACTCCTGATTTGAAGTTTCAGGTTTAAATGTGGGCCAGGATTTGAGCTGGACTGGGGAAGGCTGATCTTACTTGACTTCTTAGAGTTAGGGGGTTGGGGTTTGAGAATTGCTTAGGAAGTAATGTTTGCATTCCAGAATCACCCAACAGGTTTGCTATTTGACTGAGAAAGATGACAGATTAGGAAGTGCTGAAGGGAGTGGAGAAGGACCTGTTTGGCAGGGATGCTAAGCCCAGGGCTGGTGGGTGTATGGGGTTGGGGGGTGAGGTCTCTGATTCCAGCATACGAACGGTCCCTCCTGGGCAAGGAGTGTGCTTCTAAAGAGAGAGCAAACACACACATAAACACACACACACGCACACGCACGCACACACCACTGACGCACATGTTGCTTCCTTTCTGGGATCAGAGTTTAAAGAACGATTACCCTCTGAGCCGCCAGCCTCTTTCCTTGCCTGCAACATGCTGGTTTCAGAAAAGAGGACTGCCTAGAAAGGACGGGAAGGGGAATCCCCTGGCCAGGGCCCTGCCCACAGAGCTCCCTTCGGTGGTTACCTTGGAAACACGCATAATAGGAACAAAACATAGACGTGTTGCCAGGCAACAGAGCAGCCCAAGGTTCACTGCACACACAATCATATCAGGGAACCCCCTCCCCCGGGAGGGGAGGGAGTGTCGCTTCTGGGGAAGCTGGGGGATCCCGGGGATGACAGTCCTAGAACTCACTTAGCTTTGCCAGGGAGTCTGGAGGGCTGTGGTGTGGCACAGCTCTGAAGGCGGCAGGAAGACCTGCCTTCTCCCTGATAGTCACCTTATTTTGACAAAGGTGCCTGGAATCTTTGAGATGATAGGTTTTGCTTGCAATGCTGAGATATAGGGTGTGTGTGTGTGTGTGTGTGTGTGTGTTTGGGGGAGGTGGCAGTGTAGAAGACCTAGTAGAAAAAATAGCTTCCAGTTTTCTCCAAGCACAGGAGCCAAAGAACTCAGAGGACAAAGTAAAGGGGGTGTCTTGCCGGGTTCTCTATGAGCCCTAGCACCATCACAGGTCCCCCACCCAGTGCTGGACACACACAAAATGTTTGTGCAGTTGCCTGGGAGATCTACAGGTAGGGGAATTGCCCCCTGGGGGTTGAGAGCCCTGGGGGAAATGTGACATCAAGAGTGACAGGCTGCGTCTGAGCTCACTCAGCCGTGAAGACAGACTGCAGTGTGCCAGCCACTGCTGCAGGCTTGCGGAGGGCAAATGCCCCTGCCTTCATGGAGCTCAAGTGCTGGTGGGAGCTCTGACTCCTGCTTCTCCAAGTTTTATAACTTTAGGTTGATCGCTAAGCCTTAGTGCCAGCCTCCCTCCCAGGGTGTGTGCGTTAATGAGCTGACATAAAAGTCCCTGCTGCTAGGTTAGACACAATCACTATGAAGGGAGCTTTGGGGGGTGGGTGAGGAGGGCTTCAGTGCTAGGCACAAGAAGGAGGGTGGCAGAAGCTTCCAAAAGTGTGTATGCTTGCACTTACACCTTGACAACCTCTGAAAGTATTCCACTTCCGCGCGCTGAGGACGCCGACCTAGGAAGCTCCACCTCTGATGGTAGCCAGCATAAACATGGATTTAAAAAAATTGTAAAAATTATATTTATTAAGTTAGATTGTTGGAGAGAGAGAGAGAGGGAGAGAGAGACTATCTGCTGGTTCACTCCCCAAATGCTGATGAGAGCAGAGGCTGGGCCAGGCTGAAGCCAGGAGTCCGGAACTTGGTCTGGGTCGCCCCCATGGGTGGCAGGAACTCAAGTACTGCAGCCATCACAGGTGCACAGCTGCAGGAAGCTGGAAGGGGGAGTGAATCCAGGGATTCCGATACGGGCTGCAGGCGTCCCAAGCTGACTCTTAATTGCTACACCAGGCCCACCTACGGTCCCGGAGTTTTAGGGGGCAGGGTGGCTGTTACTCCTTCTCTAACCTCCTAGCCTGGAATGGAGAGGAGCCAGCCTGCAGAACCACACACTCTAAGTGATCCTGACACACTATTCCCCCCCCAATGAAGTACCTGCACAGTGATCCCTGCTCTGTAGCTGCTCTCCAGACCAGCCTCACCCTCCTGCCTTCTTCCCTGTTGACCAAGAGGGTGGCCAGAACAAACAATGGAGCAGATAGGTTGGCTCTGAGCCCAGGACGCTCACCTCTGCTCTTTAGCTCCTGAGGGCCTGCTGGGGCTGGGGTGAAGGCACAATGTCCATGCTCTCAGCTTCTCTGTTTCCTTTTCCTCCCTCCAACCTGTGTTTTCATGGCATATGTCCTACCAGAGCTATCTTTCTGATAACTTAGATGTCAATCAAAAACTTAGATGTCGATCAACTCCTATTTTCATATACACTGAGAACACTTGCTCTTTCATGGGGTAAAAAGAAAGTTAAAAACATTTTGGCAAACTGTTAAAAGTGGTTACTTCGGGAAGGGAGAGGGACTGGGGTATGGAAGGATGTGGATGTCACTTTTATTCTTTTTGTATTGTTTAAATTCTTCACCATGTGGAGGTATTGATTTTATTTAAATGTCAACAGAGATTATCTGCTTTGTAGGATTACAGGCCACTTTATCTTAATCTATATTTAAAAAGCCAACAAGCTGAAGCAATGTTATTTAAAATAAAATAAAATGTAAAAAGCCAGGGGCTGGCGCTGTGGTGCAGTGGGTTAAAGCCACGGCCTGCAGCACGGGTGTCTCATACGGGCACCAGTCCATATAAGAGAGTCCTGGCTGCTCTATTTCCGATCCAACTCCCTGCTAATGCTCCTGGAAAGGCAGTGGAGGATGGTCCAAGTGCTTGGGCCCCTGCACTCATGTGGGAGACCTGGAAGAAGCTCCTAGCTTCCATGTGGCCCAGTCCAGTTATTGTGGGAGTGAACCAGTGGATGGAAGATCTCTCTGTTTCTCCTTCTCTCTGTAACTCTGTCTTTTACCTGTATGTGTGTGTGTGTGTGTGTGTGTGTGTGTGTCTGAGCGAGAGAGACACACAGAGAGGTAGAGACAGGGAGAATGCTGGTGGCCGGATCTGCCTCGCCTGTGTGTCTCTGCATGTCTGTGCCTGTCTGAATGTCTATGCAGTGTCTCCACCTTTCTGTGTCCATTACATGAGTGCCTGCATGTCTGTAGTGCCTCTTGCTGTCTCTTCCCTCCCCCCAGGGCCTGTACCCTGTGTGGGTAACTGGACCTGGACACAGCCCCCAGGGCTGGCAGAAGAGCTGGTTGACTGCCGGGTATTTTTAGCCTGTAAACATGTTTGCCATTTCAGAGGACAGGGCCAAGCTGGTCTCAGCCCCAGCCCACTCCTGATTCTGCAGAGAGAAAGGCGCTCCGGCCTGCGCCAGGCCTTCTCAGCCCTCCAGCCTAAGAGAAGGAAGGGAAACTGGCTTGGAGCAGGCAGTGGGTGGCCACCTAGGAGGGCAGGATAAGAGGAGTCACTGGGGGGGGGGGGAGGAAGGGGGTGTGTAGCTTGCACCCCATCATTAAGCGTTTAATAAGATCTCCATGTAGTTAGAAGTTGCTGTGGGAATTGGTTGTAAACTGGAAAAGAGTCCTGCAAGTGAGGAGGTGGAGGAGGAGCTCAGAGAGGGGCTCCAGCAGACGGGAGGGGGGGCCGAGGGAAAGCTGCGGCTGTGACTCCTGGCCTTGGGAGGGGGTGTCTGGAGTGGAAGGTGGGCAGCCGGGGCCGCCTCCAGGGACTGCCGGCCTGACTCCCGCGCGTCGCTGCAATGCCCCGGTGACCCTAAGCCCTGGAAGTGGGGCCCGCGGCTCTAAGCTGATTCTTGCCCCCTACCCCGAAAGAGAGAACGCGAGAAATGGGCGCGGGGCACGGAGCTCAGGAGCCAGGAGAGGAAGCGCAGTTCCCTGAGTTGAGAGTCCTAAAACGTCTGCACCTCCAAGGTCCCACGGCCCCTCCAGTGAAATGGGCCGATTCCCAGTTCCAGCTGTGAGGATGAGCCTCGGGGAGCTTCCAGGAGTTTCTCACCGATGAAATCACACCCTGCACACATTGGAGGGTGGGTCCCGGCAGAGGGCGAGGGGCGCGATGAGGGAGGAGCCGACGCCCCTTGTCCCGAGCCCCTTCGCGAACCCGCAGCAGCCCACTCCCGGGTCCCTGCTCTGTTGGCCCCACTCGCTCGTCCCAGACCCGTTCGGGCCCCGCCCGGCCCCGCCCTCTCCCCACAGCTCCGGGCAGACCCGCCCGCTGGAGCCGGAGTTACAAGAGCCGCCTCCGCGCGCGGGGGCCCGGCCACTCGGAGCAGCTCTGCCGCGGGGACTGCACCGCCCGCCCTGCCGGACCCGCCCCGACCGGGGCTCGCCACCGCCACCGCCAGCAGCCGCAGCACCGCGACCTCGCGCCCGGCGCCGGCTATGGCTGTGCCCTGGGGCTGAGCGCACAGGTAGGGGCTCGGGACACACCGTGGCGCGATCGGGGGTCAGGGCACGAGAACGTGTCAGGGAGGTGGGTTGCGGGGCGGGCTTGGGCGAGGCGCGTGGGTGTGTGTGCGTGGGGACGGCGCTGTGAGGCTCCAGACAGTTTGGGGCAAGCTGGGCCGCCCAAGGCCTCCCTCGCGCCTGGGGAGCAGAGCTCTCGCCTCCGGAGTTGGGGCGCAAGTTGAGCAAAGTTGGGAAAATTGCTCTCAAGTGCGCTTTGCTCCGCTGCGAATTTCGCTCGAGAGCAGACTGTTGGCCCCCCGCTGCATCGCCGGGCGCCCAGCTCCTGGCCTGGGTGTGTGTGTGTGGGGGGGTCCCCGTCCCACACCCTCACTCCATGGGGCGGTGGCTCCGTGCGCCGCTCCGTTCCTGTGCCTTGTTTACTGGAGAAGTTACCGAGCTCGCCGCCGCAGCCCCCGGCCCCTCCCCGGCGTCCACGCCCGCGCCCCTGCCGCTGTCCTTCCGTGCTCCCGCACCTCCGCCCGGGCCTCGCGTCCCGAGTCCTCCCGGCCCCACCCGCTTCTGCACCCGCCGGCCTCTCCCTTTCTCGCTCCTGGCAGCCCCCTCAGCCCCTTCCAGCTGCCCCGCCCTAGTCTTGCCCCTCCGCGTTCCCCGCTCCAGAGAACTCCCTTCTTCCTCCAGGGCCGCCGAGCCTGGAAGTTCGTAGCGCGCCTCCCTGCGGGTTGGGTGGGAGTGGGGGTGGGGGCCATAATTAGGGAGATTCCTGCACTGGGGTGGGCGGGGAGGGGGGCTGTGCAGCCCTCGGGACCGCCCCTTCCCCTCCAGAGGCGGCACTTTCTCCTCCACCCAACTCCCAAACCCGTCCGGGCGGGATGGCCCCCGCCCCAGCGCCTGGCCCGGCGCCAGCAGCCTGAGGAATGTGGTGGTTGGAGCCGGTGACTAATTCAAACCAGAACTCGGGGGGAGTGGTGAGGGGCAAAGGGGAGGGGGAAAGGGGCCGTGTGTGGGCGGTGGGGGGCAGAAGCCGGACTCGGCGTCGGAGGAGGTCTTAGCTCCCCTCCTTGGAACCGTGCGCCCAGTCGGTGCGCGCCAGGAGTGAGCGCGGGGGAGCGCGGTCCCGCGGCGGGCTGGAAAGGCAGCGTGCTTAGGGTGTGTGCACAGAACGGTGTTATGTAAGGCTCTCAGGCAGGGAGGGGTGTGCAGTGCGCGGGGCTGGGCGCCCCCTGCAGTGCCAGCGCCGTGTGTGGGGGCGCAGCCCCTTGTGGCGCCTACCAGGAGAGCTTTGAGGGGCCCGGAGCAGGGCTGGCCGCGCCCCTCGTGAGAGGGGGCGGACAGGGGTCCGGGGGACTTCGCAGCTCTGAGCCCCGACGGCCAGGTGGTGGACGGCTCTGGCTCGTCTCTGCACGGTGTGTGCTCCTGCGCTTACAGGGCGTGGCGCTGGCCGCGGGGAGGGTAGGGCGAGGTGTTGGGGAGCGGATTTGCGGAAAGGCAGCGTGGGAGCCTCCTACGGACGCGGGGTCCTTAGAGAAAGACCCGGAGAGCTACCCCCCGTAGGGGGCTCCCAATAATTGGCTTGGAAACTCTCTTCTCCGTTAAAATCCACCCTCTGGTTGCAGGGACCCTCTTCGCTGCCAGCCCTTGGCCGAGCACGTGATAGGAGCTGGGGTTGACTTTGTGGGATCCATGATCCAGGGGGAGGTCGTGGCAATAGGGGAGTATGGGGGGGTGGGGGAAGGAGGGAGAGATTCACGGTGTCCTGGGCGGGGCGCGAGGGGCTCGGCATCTACTGCAGTGTGATTGAGAGGAGTAGATCGCCCCTTGGTCCCCGCCTCAGTGAAGGAAATCCGCGGGGTAGGGTGTGGCACTAACGCTTTCAGAAGCTGAATGGGGAAGCTTCCTTCTCTTCTTAGGGACTGCAGGGCTGGGGCTGCCCAGAGTAGGTAGAATGTGCAGAGCGGGAGTAGAGGGGAGCACCGGTTTTAGGGGCTCAGAGTCATGAGCTGTGAGGTGAGGAGGGTGGAGGGGAGCCCTGAGCTTGCTGGTGGAGGCCTGGGGGTCTCAGGGACAGGGGGTTGACGGTGGCTGAGCCCCTCTGGGAGGCTGAGGTTCTGCGTGGGGACCTCGCTCACAGAACTAGGACACCCGGAGATCCTCCCCGCTCTGAATCAGGGCTCTAGGTCTGGACAGCTTGAAGAGCTGACCCCACAGAGCCGAGGATACAGGCCCAGGGTGGGACGGGAGAGAGGAGGGAGGAGGCCAGCACTGGTCAGGGCAGGGCATGGACTGGGAGTGGGTGGGGTCGGGGTCTCCCAGTTTCCCTGCCATCACCAGGCTGGATTCCTTTAGCTCAACGTGGAATTGGCTGGCCGACCTGGCCGGCCGAGCAGGCGCCTGTGCCTGTGAGCTGGTTTGAGGGGTTGGGGCAAAGCCGTGGGGGCGGAAGGGTGTGTGGGGCGCTGGGGCGTGGTCACCACCTTCTGTAGAACTTGGGAACCGCCTGGGGTCAGACGGGGAGGAAGACTGGGAGAGCGCCTCCGACTCCTGTTGGGAGCTTTGCCTGCGCTCTCTCTTCTGCTACTCCCTGACACCCCTGAGGTTCTGTCCCCAGGCTGGGCTGACCACGTGCTGGTGCATACTTAGGTTTGAGGAAGGGGGGTGGCTGCTGGGGTGGCTTCAGAATGTGCCACTTCCCTTGGGCCGTGGCAGTGGCTCTTTCTGGGTTTCTCTGTCCCCCACTCCCCTTGCCCCCAGCTTCATCCAGGCTCCCTGGGAGTTGGTGTTTTCTCTGGGCTCATACCTTCCAGCTGGACTCCCAAGACTTCCCAGAGCATGGACAGCTTCCCCTGCATGGCTGCGCTGTGCCCAAGTGTGTGTGTGTGTGTGTGTGTGTGTGTGTAGGGGGGTGGGGAGCAGTGGGTGGCTGCAGCAAGGCTTTGCAGGAATGTGTGTATACATTTTGATGAGATTACTGGCCTCGGTTCCCACTGGGGCTGTGGCTGTGCTGACCTGTCAGTGCTGGGATCGCTGGTCTATGTTGGCCTTGGGCCCCCGTGACTGACGGTGTCACAGCCACTGTGTCTCTGAGTGAGGTGTGTGTCATCACAGGTGAGAGTGTTCCCATGCTGGCTGTGCATGGGGGTCCCTGCATCGCGGTGGGCCTGGCTCTGTCACCTCTGCCTGTTGTTGCAAGAGTTCTGGGGGTGGAAATGTCATGCAAGTGTCAGGAGCCAGTAAGGAAGCTCCAAAGTAGGTTTCTCGATCCTGGACAGGTCTGGGCCCTGGAGTTTGTGTGCAGAGGCCGGAGACAGAGCAAGGACAGCCCTGGGAACACAGGCCTGGCTGAGCGAGGCACTGCACACGGCCTGTCTGGGAGGGGCATCCTGCCCGGTCCCCGGGGGCCGGAGCGGAGGTTCTGGGGGAAGGGGAAGTGCCTGGAGCTGATCCCGGCTACGTGTCCCGGCTGTGCTGGGGGGCGGCACTTTGGCGGCTGAGCCCCGGCGGCCTGGCCCTGCGCCCCTGCACTGGCGTGGCCTGCCCGCTGGGGGGAGCGCGCCCGGCGCCCTCTCGGAGGCGGCCATGGGTGGGGCCTCCAGGCAGCTCCCAAGCTGTTATCAACGCCTCAGGGTAGGACCCCGTGGTTACTGCCCCCTTTCAGCTGAGGAGGCTGCCACCCTCAGAGGTGGCATCCTGATGTCAGTGGTCCCGAGTGCTGTGTGGCCACGGGTGGGGACTTCCCACCGGGAGAATGTCGTGCTGTCCCCAGGTTCCTGTCGGGAGGAGCGGGGACAGTCCCTCTTGCCCAGGAGTAGAGGAGGGAATCCCCCTCCCTCCTGGAAGTGAGAACTTGGGTGTTTTGGGGCTTGGAGCCCTCTGGGTGAGAAGGAGGAAGCTGTGTGTAGCCAGAGTGGAGTTGTGGAGAAAGAGAAAGTGACCAACCCGCAGGGGCTGCCCTTGGAGGGGGCTGCCCTGGAGGTCGCAAACCCCAGCTCTGGGGTGAGGGGCTGTGGGAAGAGCCAGGCTGCAGAGGAAGAAGTTCCTCCTAGTAGGAGCTGTGGGCTGGACCAGCACCTGCCTCCCTCAAGGGCAGGGAGCAGGGAGCCCACGGCTTGGGCAGGTGCACACACAGGGATGGAGGCACAGCCTCTGGGAATCAGGTCCCAGGTCGAGGGGCCTTACGACAGGCATGTGCTGTGCACTGGTAAAGGCTGGGACCGTGGGCCTGCTCTGGGCTGACCCCCGAGGGTCTCTGTGTGCCCGCAGCGTGTGTGTGAGTGTGTGTCCCTGTCCTGTGTGTCTTTCTGTCCTGCAGCGTGTTCTCCCTGGTAATTCTACTCTCTGTCCCCCTTGCTCTCACCACAGAGGTAGGAAGTGCCTCCTTGGAATGCACGGGATGGGTTTGTAAAAGATCTCCATGCCTCTTAGATTCCGTCAGCTGCCCTTTTCCAAACGGAAGTCTGGCAACTGCATCCTTGGGGTCTGTTGGCGGCTTAGGTCCGGAAAGAGGTGGCACCCCTGTATTTCTCCTTGTTTCTCTGGGGTGAGGGTCACCTGCCAGCCCCCAGGGAGTGACAGTGCTCGCCCTGCCCTGCCGGATGAGTGCCTGCCTCTAGAGTGAGTCTGGTGCGCATGGAGCCCCAGAAGGGGACGACTGTGTCCCACCTGTCGGGGTGCAAGCAAAATCTAGGGGAGAGCTGGGTTCTGTGCAGCTCGAAGTCCCCGAGGACATGGCCTCAGTGAACCCCAGAACCAAAAGGCCTCTCAGATGCAGGGGCCGGGATGCCTGGGACTGTGCTTGCTGGGTCTGCTCTCCGCTTGCCTGGGGGAAGGGAGGCTCAGAGTCTGCCCCATCCCCCCCCGCCCCGCCCCGGGGAGGGGGGGTTTCCGTCCCCAGTGCAAATCTCACTTCTGTGCATCTTTCTCTGTGGTTTCTCGTGGGTCTCAGCCTGTGTCCGTCTTCACTGGTGGCTCCGTTCCTCTACCTGGGTGAAGACTGTTGGTCCTGGAGATAGAACTCTGGACTTGCATAGTAACTCGGTTTCATACTCAGGCAAGGGTCTTTTCTTCATGACTTTAAAGTCAGGATTGAATTATTATTATTATTATTATTTTTTTTTTGGACAGGCAGAGTGGATAGTGAGAGAGAGAGACAGAGAGAAAGGTCTTCCTTTTGCCGTTGGTTCACCCTCCGATGGCCACCACGGCTGGCGCGCTGCGGCCGGTGCACCGCGCTGATCCAAAGGCAGGAGCCAGGTGCTTCTCCTGGTCTCCCATGCGGGTGCAGGGCCCACTGCACTCCCTGGCCACAGCAGAGAGCTGGCCTGGAAGAGGGGCAACCGGGACAGAATCTGGTGCCTCGACCGGGACTAGAACCTGGTGTGCCGGCGCCGCTAGGTGGAGGATTAGCCTATTGAGCCACGGCGCGGGCCAGGATTGAATTTTTTTAAAGATTTATTTTATTTATTTAAAAGACAGAGTTACAGAGAGAGGTAGAGCCAGAGAGAGAGAGAGAGAGACAGAGACAGAGACAGAGAGAGAGAGAGATCTTCTATCCACTGGTTCACTCCCCAGATGACCGCAACAGCCAGAGCTGAGCTGATCCAAAGCCAGGAGCCAGGAGCTTCTTCCAGGTCTCCCACTCGGGTGCAGGGACCCAAGAACTCAGGGACCCAAGAACTCATTCCCAGGCCATAGCAGAGAGCTTCATCAGAATTGGAACAGCCTAGACTCGAACCTGCGCCCATATGGGATGCTGGCACTGCAGGCTGGGATTTTAACCTGCTGCGCCACAGTGCCAGCCACAGGATATGAATTCTTGTCACGCAGGGTTGCTGGGGTGTTGCATGAGACCCCAGGCATGGGCTGCTGGCAGCATGGTCTCTGGTGCACACAAAGCAGCGAATTCTGTCTCTTTCTACGTGGTGGGAGCTTCCATTGAATATGGAGCTCCCCTTGCTCGTTGCCGCCTGCTCAGTGTTTATGAGAGGCCAAGCTTGCTCTGCTGGGTGTGTCTCTGTTCTTTGTATATCTGACTCCTCCTGCTTATTCGAGTTTTGGGCTTTCCCCCCTGCTGGAGGTTTTAACTTTGGGATGAGTCATTTCGTTCTTGGGGTGGGGACTGCCTCTCTGTGGCGCTGTGTGTGTGGTGGGCCAGTTGGCACGTGTGTGTGCCGCTGTGGACGGGTGATTCTCCCTCCCTTGGAGTGCTGCCTCCTGTGTCCAGCCTGTGCTGGGTGATGCACGCTTGTGTGCCCCTCTGCTGTGTAGCTGGTGTTCAGGCTTGGTGTGTTCAAGCATTGAGGCCCATGGCGAGTGTGTATCAGTTTCTTTTCTTTTTTTTTTTTTTTAATTTTTTTTGACAGGCAGAGTGGACAGTGAGAGAGAGAGACAGAGAGAAAGGTCTTCCTTTGCTGTTGGTTCACCCTCCAATGGCCGCTGCGGCCGGCGCATTGCTGCCGGTGCACCGCGCTGATCCGAAGCCAGGAGCCAGGTGCTTCTCCTGGTCTCCTATAGGGTGCAGGGCCCAAGCACTTGGGCCATCCTCCACTGCACTCCTGGGCCATAGCAGAGAGCTGGCCTGGAAGAGGGGCAACCGGGAAAGAATCCAGTGCCCTGACCGGGACTAGAACCTGGTGTGCTGGCGCCGCAAGGCGGAGGATTAGCCTAGTGAGCCGCAGCACCGGCCTTGTATCAGTTTCTGTCATCTTGACACTGACGCTGGCTGCAGGGCAGTCTTTAGCTGTTGCAGCAGCCAGCCTGGGCCCCCTCCCTGGTTGCCATCGTGTTGGCTCTGGGGTCAGAGGAGGGCCCTGTTTCCTGAGAGCAGTGGAGGAAGGATGTCCCTTTGGAGGAGGTCACCCCTGGCAGAGGCCTGGCAGAGACCCATCTTCCTGGGACAAGGCGTCTCCGGGATCTGCTTGGCATTGCCCTCAGTCCACAGGGGTAGGCCTGGGCAGAGCCCTGTTGCCCTGCACATCCTCTGTGGTTTCCAACTGCAGGATGGCCAGTTCTTCTGGCTTGAACCACACTCCGTGCCGAAGCAGCTTTGGAGCTGGAGTAGCCTTACCGTCTCCCTCTTGTCCTGTAGCCTTTGGCTTCTCCACTGCGGCTCTGCTCCTTCCTGTGGTGATGTGAGCCCGTATCCAGTGGGCTGTGGTAGTAGCAGCTAGGAGAGCCCCAACACTCCCATTCTCACTTTCCTGGGCGTGCAGTGCTGTCCCAGAGCACGGTCTGCGGTGGGGGAATCTCTCTCTCTCTCTGTGCTGTCTAGTATGGTAGCCAGCAGGCACACGCGGCTGAAATGTGGCTAGTGCAATCAGTGAACCGACATTTCGATGTAATATAGATGAAAGAGCCACATGTAGTGCGTCCATCGGCCAGCATCTAGCCCTGAAGGCTTGTGATACTTGGCTGGGCTGAGCAGAATTATTGCCGGCGCCAGAGACCCTCCGTTGGGTGGTAGCAGGACAGAGTCTTCTGCCTCTGGGAAGCTTGGCTGAACCTAAGGAAGGAAAGACCACCGGGCTTGGACCAGGCTCCAGGGGCAAAGGAGAGCTGAGGGCTGGGACCCAGAAGCCCTGCCCCTATGGCTTCCTTTGCCACTGCCTTCTGTATCCCCACACCTGTGCTCGGAGTGGAAGGGCCCAGATCAGATGAGAAGGGAGTGGTGTTTGGCTGTGCCAGGATGACGGGATCAGAGCCAGAGCAGGCAAAGGGCTTGGCAGCCTCACCTGGCCGGGATGCCATCGAGAGGCCGCCCAGGACTGGTCTGCAGCCTGGCTTGGGTCTACAGCTCTTGATAGGGAGGCCGAAGGGAGCCCTAGCCCCTCTTGCCCCTGGGGGTCTGACCCTGGAGGCACTGTGTGGGCCTCTGGTTCTAGGCGTGATCCTCTGCATGTCTAGAGCTGCTGCGGCAGCGGCTGTGACTCACCGGGGAAGGAGGGAGGGTGGGGCCGACGTGTGGGCGAGGGTGAGCTGGCTGCTCGCTGCCCTCCGCTGACTGCTGCTGCTGGCTCAGCACCAGGATGCTGGGCTCAGAATAGAGGCCCTGCTCAAGGAGGAAGAAGGGTGCCAAGGCCATCTGCAGGGCTGGCTTCAGTTCCTTGTGAGAACCTGGGCTGGAGACGGTTTTCCGTCCGTGCCTCCGCCTCGCTCCTTAGCTGCAGGGGCTGACTTCTTAGAACTGGACTCTGGGAGAAGGTGCCGCTCAAGTCCTCGCTTTGCTGTGTCACCTTGGGAGGGGTCTCTGTGACTTCCCGCATCGGCCTCCTCTGCCTGCTCGGAAGGGAGGCTGGTGCTTTCTCACACCTGTGCTAACAGCCCGGTCACCCCTTTGAACACCTGCGGTGCTCGGTACATAGCGAAATGATGAGTTGGTCAAATGGAGAACAGGTGTTGAGGGCTGGGGTCTGTGTGTTTATCTCTCGCCTGTGTTGTCATCTGCCTCAGACGGGAGCAGCTAAGTGCCTTGAATTTCCAGGAGTCATAGACCTGTCCTGAGGAGGGGGGGCAAAAGCTAACACCTGCCAGGCCCCGTTCATATTTCATTCCCCCCAGAAGTCTCCCAAGCCTTCTGGAACATTCAGAGGCTACGTTGGTCACCCCTGGAGCACCTTACTCATAGTTCATATCCGGGGTGGGATCTAGGTTTTAACTCTCCCTCTCATGCATGTGCAAACAGTTGGGTCAGTTTGAGAGGCCCCGGCATGGCTGGAATCAATGCCAGCCTCAGTGCTGGACGTGCAGGAGGCCAGCGGGACACCCGTTTTATTGACCAGTTGCCTGAGTCCTGGACGTAAACAGCTGCAGGGTGGGGTTTGGGTGCGGCTCCCCCACCCCCCGTGATTTATAGCATCCCCCACACAATTCCACAGACTTGCTTTGGGTGGCTGCCGCTGCCATTTTGTGTGGGTGGCTGCGGGCCGAGCCATATCCGGAGCCCTGCCTGCCATCTTCCCAGGGTGCCTCTGCAGCTGATGGCTCATCCTGTGACCAGAGGGCATCCTCACCTATGGGGACCTGGCTCAGGGCCCGGTGTGGGCAGCCAGATGCGCCTTGACTCACTGCATGCCCGAGGCGGGCGGGCTCAGCTGTACTCTGGCCTCTCAGACTTGGGCTGGTGGGTGGTGTGGTTGGGGGGGTGGGGGGTGGTGGGGAGGGGGCTTCTTTTGTTCCGGTTACAGCTGGAGGCAGGGCTCCTCCTGGTCCTGAGGACCCCTATTGTCACAGGGAGGAGGGCTTGTGATCAGCTACAGACCTGACGTGGGCCAGGGCACAGAGTCACTGACGCAGGTCTGAGCCCGGTATGGTTGCTCTCTTACTGTGGGCCCTGGGCAGGTTGGCCTATCAGAGGCTCAGTCTGTCTGTGAAATGGGGACGGTCATGTCCTTCTCCCAGAGCTGCCGTGGAGAAGCTAAGCAGGGCGTGTATGCTGTGGGGTGCCTGTGTGCCAGCTAAGTGCTTTCTGGCCAGGGTCCCACTGCAAGGAGGGTGCAGAGCCGGCCAGGGTTTCAGGTTGCAGCCGGTTGATGGGGGTGTGGAGCTTGCCCACTGTCAAATGTGAGCAGCGCTGTGAACTTTCCCCTAGGCTGTGTGACCGAGACTCCCGACAGGAGTGACTGAGGGGAAGAGAAGGAGGGGCGGGCTCCTGGCAAGGCATTCGCTCCTGAGCAGAGTCCTGCAAAGGTCAGTGGCGGGGGGTGGGGGTTGGGGCTGGGGTGGGTTGGGAGACACCAGGCCCCAGGCCAGAAGGGATGTGTGGTTGTCACCTCATCTGCTCGGCATGCCTTGGAGGGGCTTCCGCAGTGGGGAGGTGAGCTGGTGCTGCAGGGGCTGTGGCACCGGAGAGAGTGCCCCGCCCCCTGGACGTTCCAAGCGCCAGTGATCCCTGGCTTGCTTTTTTTTTTTTTCTTTTAAATTTTTATTTATATATTTTCATTTATTTGAAAGGCAGAACCAAAAAGAGCCAGAGCCAGAGCTTCCATCTGCTGGTTCACTCCCCAGATGCCTGGAACAGCCTCTAGACTGGGCCTGGCTGAACCCAGGAGCTAGGAGCTCCATTGTGGTCTCCTGTATTCAGTGGCAGGGACCCAGGTACTTGAGGAGCCATTACTGCTGCCTCCCAGGGTGTGCCTTAGCAGGAAGCGGAAGTGGAGCCTGGCTGTCTTATCTCCCACCTGAACTCTGTTTCCTCACCCCGTCCCAGATGGAGAAGGAGGAGGAGACAACCCGGGAGCTGCTGCTGCCCAATTGGCAGGGCAGCGGCTCCCACGGGCTGACCATCGCCCAGAGGGACGACGGCGTCTTTGTGCAGGAAGTGCTGCAGAACTCCCCTGCGGCCCGCACTGGGGTGGTCAAGGAGGGTGAGTCACCCCTGGGTGCAGAGCGGGCACCGGGGCTAGTGGGGGTGGGGTGGGGGTGTTGCCAGGAAGGGAAGGGGGCGGGGAAGCAGGCAGAAGTGTGTGAGTGGCTGTGACAGGCCTGGTCCCAGCAGCCCGAACCTGGTCCTGCCCTCCCTTGCTCACCCCATGTCCCTTGCTTCTGCCCCTTGGGGGAGACAGGCCTGTGGGGTAGTGGAAATCTAGTCCTTAGCTCTGGCTTCTCCACCCACTAGCTCTGCAGTATTGGGCCAGTTAGTTGGCTTTTCTATTTTAAAGATTTTATTTATTTGAGAGGCAGAGTTACAGACAGGAGAGAGGGAGAGACACAGAGAGGTCTTCCATCTGCTGGTTCACTCCCCAAATGGCCACAATGGCCAGAGCTGAGCCCACCCAAAGCCAGGAGCCAGGAGCCTCTTTCAGGTCTTCCACGTGGGTGCAGAGGCCCAAGCATGTAAGAAGATAGTCACATCTTCCACTGCCTTCCCAGGTCATAGCAGAGAGCTAGATTGGAAAAGGAGCAGCTGGGACTTGAACCGGCACCCATATGGGATGCCAGCACTTCAGGCAGAGGCTTAGCCCACTACACCACAGCACCAGCCCCTAGTTGACCTTTCTAAGCCCCACTTGCCTCATCAGTGCAATGGGTATAGCATGCTGGTCTTGTAGGGTGGTCGTGAGGGTTAAATGCACATCTGTTTAAGCGCCCAGCAGGTGGTGGCTGTGTGGCTTTGCTCTGAAACCCAAGGGTCTTACCTGCTTCTGGCTCCTTCCTGCTCAGGGGACCAGATTGTGGGGGCCACCATCTACTTTGACAACCTGCAGTCGGGTGAGGTGACCCAGCTGCTGAACACCATGGGGCACCACACCGTTGGCTTGAAGCTGCACCGCAAGGGGGATCGCTCCCCTGAGCCTGGCCAGACCTGGACGCATGAAGTTTTCAGCTCCCGCAGCTCCGAGGTGGTTCTGGTGAGTACCTGGCGGCGGGTCTGTGCTCCGGGTGTCCTTGTCCACAGCAGCTTCCTGTCTGCCTCCTGGGCCTCTCTTTGGATTCTTGCCCCTCCTTTCCCCTCCCTGCATGCTCTGGCGCCCTCGGCCAGCCTGCTGCTTCTTGCTGACGTGTGACTCACATGTGGCATGTGGTTGAGGCTGCTCGGCCTCTTGAAAGTGCCCGCCCTGCACCACCACGAGAGCTGACTCTTGCAGTCTGGGCCAAGAAGCTCGGGGAGTCGGCTGCTTTGCAGGAATCTGACATGATCTCACAGGTGCCCGCCTTTGCCTTGCAGACGCCGTGTTCCTCTTTGAGAAGCCTGAGCTCCTTCCGTGAGGCACAGGCTGGGCAGCAGGTGCCGGCAGGGATGCTGCTGTGCCCGTGCAGATGGCCTGTTGATGGAACACAGATGGGTCCTCCAAGTGCAAGTGTTAGCACAGCACTTGGGCTTTCCAGTGTGCAAGGGCCCCTGGGAGGCCCCTCTTGGGTAAACATGCAAACCATTGAGTTGAGAGTTGCTGCGCTGGAGGGTCTGGCTGGAGTGCCTGTGCAGCAGGATGGTTTGATTTCTCTGTGATGGATTGTAAATCCTTCTCCCAGGCTGCTCAGTCTAGGAGTCTACACTGCCATGCTCTTTCCAACCAGAATGTCCCCCAAACAATATGTTTTCCTCCTGTGATGTGGCTGTCAGCCCCTGTCTTCTGTCCCGTGTGCCTTTCCCCAGGAGGCTCCCTGGACCTCTCTCTGTGATGGTCCCAGCTTCTTTGGGAACCAGGCAGCCGTGTTGTCGGCTGGGCTGTGGCCGGGCGTCTGGTGACTCAGGCAGACTCTGCTGCAACCTGTGCCGGGCCTGTCTTTCTGCAGAGCGGGGATGACGAAGAGTACCAGCGCATCTACACCACCAAGATCAAGCCTCGGCTCAAGTCGGAGGATGGCGTGGAAGGGGACCTGGGAGAGACCCAGAGCCGTACCATCACAGTGACCAGAAGGGTCACAGCCTACACTGTGGATGTGACCAGCCGCGAAGGAGCCAAGGACCTCGACATCAGCAGCCCAGAATTCATGGTCAAGATTCCGAGGCATGAACTGACTGAAATCTCCAATGTGGACGTGGAGAGCCAGCCAGGGAAGACAGTGATCAGACTGCCCTCGGGCTCAGGGGCGGTCTCTCCAACCGCAGGCTCTGCTGTGGACATCCGAGCAGGGGCTGTGTGCACTTCAGGACCAGAGCAGTCGAAGCTCCAGGTCACCGTGCCTGGGATAAAGGTGGGGAGTCCGGGCGTCAGTGTCAGCGCGAAGGGCTTAGACTTGGGTGGCAAAGGAGAGGTCCAAGCTCCAGTTTCGTCTTCTCTTGGGGGTGGGGCGGTAGAGGTGCAGGGCCCTTCCCTCGAGAGCGGTGACGGTGGGAAAATTAAAATCCCCACCATGAAGGTGCCAAAATTTGCTGTCTTGACAGGGCCTGAGGGCCAGGCACCAGAGGCAGGGCTGAGTGTCTCTGCCCCTGAATTCTCTGTGGGGCACAAGGGTGGCAGGCTAGGCTCGACCATTGGCGGGAACATCCAGACCCCACAGCTAGAAGTCAGTGCCAATATTGAGGGGCTAGAGGGGAAACTGGAGGCCCCCCAGATCACTGGGCCGTCCTTTGAGGGTGACGCAAGCCTGAAGGGTGCCAAGCCACAGGGGAGCATAAGGGTGGATGCTTCTGCTCCCCAGATTGAAGGCTGTCTTTCCGGCCCCAGTGTGGGAGTTCCAGCCCCTGACCTTGATGTTCATGGGCCTGGGGGCAAACTGAATGTGCCTAAGATGAAAGTCCCCAAGTTCTCTGCATCGGGCTCAATCGGAGAGGGAGCTGGTGTGGATGTGACACTGCCCACAGGTGAGATGACTCTCCCTGGGGTCTCCGGTGAGGTCAGCCTGCCCGAGATTTCTACTGGTGGTCTAGAAGGGAAAGTGAAAGGTGCCAAAGTCAAGACTCCCGAACTGATTGTTCAGAAGCCGAAAATCTCTATGCAGGATGTGGATCTGAACCTTGGGTCCCCTAAAGTGAAAGGAGACATGAAGGTGTATGCTCCTGGAGTGCAAGGCGATGTGAAAGGCCCTCAGGTGGCCGTTAAAGGCTCCAAAGTGGACATAGAGATGCCGAACCTAGAGGGGACCTGGACAGGCCCCAAGCTTGGCAGTCCCTCTGGGAAAACAGGAAGCTATGGGATCTCTATGGCAGATGTAGACCTGAATGTGGCAGCACCTAAAATGAAAGGGGGTGTAGATGTCACACTCCCCAAAGTAGAAGGGAAAGTCAAGGGCCCTGGTGTTGACATCAGAGGCCCCAGAGTAGATGTCAGTGGCCCAGATGCAGAAGGTCATGGGCCAGAATGGAACCTGAAAATGCCCAAGTTCAGCACTCCAGGGGTCAAAGGGGAAGGCCCAGCTGTACATGTGGCTCTACCCAAGGGAGATGTCAGTGTTTCTGGGCCCAGGGTCAGTGTGGAAGCCCCAGATGTCAATGTGGAGGGTCTGGGGGGCCAACTTAAAGGCCCTGATATTCAGCTGCCTGCAGTGAGCGTCAAGTCACCAAAGATCTCCATGCCTGATGTAGATTTGCATGCTAAAGGCCCAGAGGTTAAGGGAGAGTGGGATGTAACAGTACCAAAGCTTGAAGGGGAACTCAAAGGCCCCAAAGTGGACATTGCTGCCCCAGATGTGGATGTTCATGGCCCGGACTGGCATCTGAAGATGCCCAAGATGAAGATACCCAAATTCAGTGTGCCAGGGTTCAAAGCAGAGGGCCCAGAAGTGGACGTGAACCTGCCCAAGGCTGATGTCAACATTTCTGCGCCCAAGGTAGATGTGCATGCTCCAGACGTGAGCATTGAGGGACCAGAAGGGAAATTGAAAGGGCCCAAGTTTAAGATGCCTGAAATGAATATCAAAGCCCCAAAGATCTCTGTGCCAGATGTGGACTTACATCTGAAAGGCCCTCACGTCAAGGGAGAATATGATGTCACGACGCCAAAGGTTCAAAGTGAGATTAAAGTTCCTGATGTTGAACTTAAAAGTGCCAGAGTGGACATTGAAGCCCCCGATGTAGATGTCCAAGGCCCAGACTGGCACCTGAAGATGCCCAAGATGAAAACGCCCAAGTTCAGCATGCCTGGGTTCAAAGCAGAGGGCCCAGAAGTGGACGTGAACCTGCCCAAGGCTGACATGGATGTCTCAGGACCCAGGGTAGATGTCGAAGTTCCAGATGTGAATGTTGAAGGACCTGAAGGAAAGCTTAAGGGCCCCAAGTTTAAGATGCCTGAGATGAATATCAAGGCCCCTAAAATCTCCATACCTGATGTGGATTTGCATATGAAAGGTCCCAAGGTAAAGGGCGAATACGATGTGACGGTGCCAAAGGTGGAAGGGGACCTGAAAGGCCCAAAAGTAGACGTCAGTGCCCCAGATGTTGAAGTTCATGGTCCTGATTGGAATCTGAAGATGCCAAAAATTAAAATGCCCAAATTTAGCATGCCTAGCCTCAAAGGAGAGGGCCCAGAATTGGATGTGAACCTGCCCAAAGCTGACGTGGACATTTCTGCACCAAAGGTAGATCTTAGTGCTCCTGATCTGAGTCTTGAAGGACCAGAAGGGAAGCTGAAGGGACCCAAGTTTAAGATGCCTGAGATGCACTTCAAAGCTCCCAAGATGTCTCTGCCAGATGTTGACATGGATCTTAAAGGACCCAAAATGAAAGGAAGTCTTGATGTGTCTGCACCAAAAGTAGAGGCTGAGATGAAAGTTCCAGATGTGGACATCAGAGGTCCTAAGGTGGACATTAAAGACCCACATATGGAAGGTCAGGGTCCAGACTGGAGCCTAAAGATGCCTAAGATGAAAATGCCCAAGTTCACCATGCCCAGCCTCAAAGCAGAGGGCCCAGAAGTGGACGTGAACCTGCCCAAGGCTGACATTGACATTGTTGCACCCAAGGTGGACATTGAAGCCCCAGATGTGAGTTTGGAGGGTCCAGAAGGGAAGCTGAAGGGCCCCAAATTCAAGATGCCTGAGATGCATTTCAAGGCCCCCAAGGTCTCCATGCCCGATGTGGACTTAAACCTGAAAGGCCCCAAAGTCAAAGGGGAAATGGACGTGTCTGTGCCCAAGGTCGAAGGTGAGATGAAAGTGCCAGATGTTGACATCAAAGCACCCAAAGTGGGCATTGATGTTCCAGATGTGGATGTTCAGGGGCCAGACTGGCATCTGAAGATGCCCAAGATGAAAATGCCCAAGTTCAGCATGCCTGGGTTCAAAGCAGAGGGCCCAGAAGTGGACGTGAACCTGCCCAAGGCTGACATTGACATTGCTGCACCCAAGGCTGACATTGACATTGCTGCACCCAAGGTTGACATTGATGTGTCTGCACCCAAGGTGGACATTGAAGCCCCAGATGTGAGTTTGGAGGGTCCAGAAGGGAAGCTGAAGGGCCCCAAATTTAAGATGCCTGAGATGCATTTCAAGACCCCCAAGGTCTCCATGCCTGATGCTGACCTGAATCTTAAGGGCCCCAAACTAAAGGGAGATGTGGATGTATCTTTGCCTAAGGTAGAAGGTGAAATAAAGGTGCCAGATGTAGGTATTAAAGGGCCCAAGGTTGAAGTTGGTGCCCCAGATGTGGATGTTCAGGGGCCAGACTGGCACCTGAAGATGCCCAAGATGAAAATGCCCAAGTTCAGCATGCCTGGGTTCAAAGCAGAGGGCCCAGAAGTGGACGTGAACCTGCCCAAGGCTGACATTGGTGTCTCAGGCCCCAAGGTGGATGTGGAAGTTCCAGATGTGAATATTGAAGGTCCAGATGTGAAAGTTAAAGGTCCCAAATTTAAGATGCCAGAAATGAATATAAAGCCTCAGAAGATCTCCATGCCAGATGTTGGTTTGCATTTGAAAGGTCCTAAAGTGAAAGGAGATTATGATGTTGCAGTTCCAAAAGTAGAAGGAGAGATAAAAGCTCCTGATGTTGACATCAAAGGTCCCAAAGTAGACGTGAATGCACCAGAGGTTCATGGCCCAGACTGGCACCTGAAGATGCCCAAGGTGAAAATGCCCAAGTTCAGCATGCCTGGGTTCAAAGCAGAGGGCCCAGAAGTGGATGTGAACCTGCCCAAGGCCAACATTGATGTCTCAGGACCCAAGGTGGATGTGGACATTGAAGCTCCAGAGGGGAAAATAAAAGGCCCCAAGTTCAAGATGCCAAGCATGAATATACAGACACACAAAATCTCTATGCCTGATGTGGGGCTTAATCTCAAAGCCCCTAAACTGAAAACTGGTGTAGATGTTTCCCTTCCCAAAGTGGAAGGGGAATTGAAAGGCCCTCAAATTGATGTGAAAGCACCCAAAATGGATGTGGATGTTGGGGATATTGAACTTGAAGGTCCTGATGCAAAACTGAAGGGCCCCAAATTCAAGATGCCTGAGATGCATTTCAAGACCCCCAAGATCTCCATGCCCGATGTGGACTTAAACTTGAAAGGCCCCAAAGTCAAAGGGGAAATGGACGTGTCTGTGCCCAAGGTCGAAGGTGAGATGAAAGTGCCAGATGTTGACATCAAAGCACCCAAAGTGGGCATTGATGTTCCAGATGTGGATGTTCAGGGGCCAGACTGGCATCTGAAGATGCCCAAGATGAAAATGCCCAAGTTCAGCATGCCTGGGTTCAAAGCAGAGGGCCCAGAAGTGGACGTGAACCTGCCCAAGGCTGACATTGATGTGTCTGCACCCAAGGTGGACATTGAAGCCCCAGATGTGAGTTTGGAGGGTCCAGAAGGGAAGCTGAAGGGCCCCAAATTTAAGATGCCTGAGATGCATTTCAAGACCCCCAAGGTCTCCATGCCTGATGTGGACTTAAACCTGAAAGGCCCCAAAGTCAAAGGGAGTATGGATGTGTCTGTGCCAAAACTGGAAGGAGATTTGAAAGGCCCCAGTGTGGATGTGACAATGCCTGATGTTGATCTTGAATGTCCTGATGCAAAGTTGAAAGGCCCCAAATTCAAGATGCCTGAAATGCATTTTAAGACCCCCAAGATCTCCATGCCCGATGTGGACTTAAACCTGAAAGGCCCCAAAGTCAAAGGGGAAATGGATGTGTCTGTGCCAAAACTGGAAGGAGATTTGAAAGGCCCTAGTGTGGATGTGACAATGCCTGATGTTGATCTTGAATGTCCTGATGCAAAGTTGAAAGGCCCCAAATTCAAGATGCCAGACATGCATTTTAAGACTCCCAAGATCTCCATGCCTGATGTGGACTTAAACCTGAAAGGCCCCAAAGTCAAAGGGAGTATGGATGTGTCTGTGCCAAAACTGGAAGGAGATTTGAAAGGCCCCAGTGTGGATGTGACAATGCCTGATGTTGATCTTGAATGTCCTGATGCAAAGCTGAAAGGCCCCAAATTCAAGATGCCTGAGATGCATTTCAAGACCCCCAAGATCTCCATGCCCGATGTGGACTTAAACCTGAAAGGCCCCAAAGTCAAAGGGGATATGGACGTGTCTGTGCCCAAGGTCGAAGGTGAGATGAAAGTGCCAGATGTTGACATCAAAGCACCCAAAGTGGGCATTGATGTTCCAGATGTGGATGTTCAGGGGCCAGACTGGCATCTGAAGATGCCCAAGATGAAAATGCCCAAGTTCAGCATGCCTGGGTTCAAAGCAGAGGGCCCAGAAGTGGACGTGAACCTGCCCAAGGCTGACATTGATGTGTCTGCACCCAAGGTGGACATTGAAGCCCCAGATGTGAGTTTGGAGGGTCCAGAAGGGAAGCTGAAAGGCCCCAAATTCAAGATGCCTGAAATGCATTTCAAGACTCCCAAGGTCTCCATGCCTGACGTTGATTTCAACTTAAAGGGGCCTAAAATCAAAGGGGATGTTGATGTTTCTGCCCCAGAGTTGCAGGGTGAGTTAAAAGGTCCAGAGATGGATGTCAAGGGCCCAAAATTGGATGTTGACAAGCCAGAAATTTCTGTGGAAGGCCCAGAAGGCAAGTGGAAAAGTCCTAAGTTCAAGATGCCAGACATGCACTTTAAAGCTCCCAAAATCTCAATGCCGGACATTGATCTACACCTAAAGAGTCCCAAGATAAAGGGAGATGTAGATGTAGATGTTCCCAAGTTAGAAGCAGACCTCAAAAGTTCACATGTGGACATCAGTGGACCAGACATTGATATTGAAGGGCCCGAGGGAAAATTGAAAGGTCCCAAGTTCAAGATGCCAGATATGCATTTCAAAGCTCCCAATATTTCTATGCCTGATGTTGATCTAAGTCTGAAAGGACCAAAAATCAAAGGGGATGTGGATGTGTCTGTGCCTGAGGTAGAAAGTAAAATTAAAGTACCAGATGTGGACATCAAGGGCCCCAAAGTTGATGTAAAAGCCCCTGATGTTCATGGCCCAGACTGGCACCTGAAGATGCCCAAGGTGAAAATGCCCAAGTTCAGCATGCCTGGGTTCAAAGCAGAGGGCCCAGAAGTGGATGTGAACCTGCCCAAGGCTGACATTGACGTCTCTGTACCCAAGGTGGACATTGAGGGCCCTGATGTGAGCATTGAGGGGCCAGAAGGAAAGTTGAAAGGTCCCAAGTTCAAGATGCCTGAGATGAACATCAAAGCCCCCAAGATCTCCATGCCTGATGTTGATCTGAATCTGAAAGGTCCCAAAGTGAAGGGGGATGTGGATGTGTCTCTGCCCAAAGTGGAAGGTGAGATTAAAGCTCCCGAAGTTGATCTCAAAGGCCCCAAAGTGGACATTGATGCCCCAGATGTGGATGTTCATGGTCCAGACTGGCACCTGAAAATGCCCAAGGTGAAAATGCCCAAGTTCAGCATGCCTGGGTTCATAGGCAGAGGGCCCAGAAGTGGATGTGAATCTTCCCAAGGCTGACATTGATGTCTCTGCACCCAAGGTGGACATTGAAGGCCCTGATGTGAGCATTGAGGGCCAGAGGGAAAGCTGAAAGGTCCCAAGTTCAAGATGCCTGAGATGAACATCAAAGCCCCCAAGATCTCCATGCCTGACTTTGACTTAAATCTGAAAGGTCCCAAAGTGAAGGGGGATGTGGATGTGTCTCTGCCCAAAGTGGAAGGTGAGATTAAAGCTCCCGAAGTTGATCTCAAAGGCCCCAAAGTGGACATTGATGCCCCAGATGTGGACGTTCATGGTCCAGACTGGCACCTGAAGATGCCCAAGGTGAAAATGCCCAAGTTCAGCATGCCTGGGTTCAAGGCAGAGGGCCCAGAAGTGGATGTGAACCTGCCCAAGGCTGACATTGACGTCTCTGGACCCAAGGTGGACATTGAAACTCCTGACATTGACATTCACGGTCCAGAAGGAAAACTGAAAGGACCTAAGTTTAAAATGCCTGATCTACACCTCAAGGCTCCCAAGATCTCCATGCCTGATGTTGATCTGAATCTGAAAGGCCCCAAGGTGAAGGGGGACGTGGATGTGTCTCTGCCCAAAGTGGAAGGTGAGATTAAAGGTCCTGCAGTTGATCTCAAAGGCCCCAAAGTGGACATTGATGCCCCAGATGTGGACGTTCATGGTCCAGACTGGCACCTGAAGATGCCCAAGGTGAAAATGCCCAAGTTCAGCATGCCTGGGTTCAAGGCAGAGGGCCCAGAAGTGGATGTGAACTTGCCCAAGGCTGACATTGATGTCTCAGGACCAAAGGTGGACATTGAAACTCCTGACATTGACATTCATGGTCCAGAAGGAAAGCTGAAAGGACCTAAGTTTAAAATGCCTGATCTACACCTCAAGGCTCCCAAGATCTCCATGCCTGATGTTGATCTGAATCTGAAAGGTCCCAAAGTGAAGGGGGATGTAGATGTGTCTCTGCCCAAAGTGGAAGGTGAGATTAAAGCTCCCGAAGTTGATCTCAAAGGCCCCAAAGTGGACATTGATGCCCCAGATGTGGACGTTCATGGTCCAGACTGGCACTTGAAGATGCCCAAGATAAAAATGCCCAAGTTCAGCATGCCTGGGTTCAAGGCAGAGGGCCCAGAAGTGGATGTGAACCTGCCCAAGGCTGACATTGATGTCTCAGCACCCAAGGTGGACATTGAGGGCCCTGATGTGAGCATTGAGGGGCCAGAGGGAAAGCTGAAAGGTCCCAAGTTCAAGATGCCTGAGATGAACATCAAAGCCCCCAAGATCTCCATGCCTGATGTTGATCTGAATCTGAAAGGTCCCAAGGTGAAGGGGGATGTGGATGTGTCTCTGCCCAAAGTGGAAGGTGAGATTAAAGCTCCTGAAGTTGATCTCAAAGGCCCCAAAGTGGACATTGATGCCCCAGATGTGGACGTTCATGGCCCAGACTGGCACCTGAAGATGCCCAAGGTGAAAATGCCCAAGTTCAGCATGCCTGGGTTCAAGGCAGAGGGCCCAGAAGTGGATGTGAACCTGCCCAAGGCTGACATTGACGTCTCTGGACCCAAGGTGGACATTGAGGGCCCTGATGTGAGCATTGAGGGGCCAGAAGGAAAGCTAAAGGGACCTAAGTTCAAGATGCCTGAGATAAACATCAAAGCTCCTAAGATCTCCATGCCTGATGTTGATCTGGATTTGAAAGGACCCAAAGCCAGAGGCGATTTTGATTTGTCTGTTCCTAAGACTGATGGTGTCTTCAAGAGCCCAGATGTAGACTTGAAAGGTGTTCGTCTGGATCTTGAGGGCCCTGATGGCAAAGTCAGTGGCCCAGATTTGAAGATGCCATCACTGGAGATATCTGCTCCTAAACTGACTGCTCCTGATGTAGATCTGCATCTAAAGGCACCCAAAATCGGCGTTTCTGGCCCCAAGTTGGGAGGTGGTGAAGTGGACCTCAAGGGCCCTAAAGTTGATCTAGAAGCTCCAAGCTTGGATGTACATATGGAGAGCCCAGATATTAACATTGAGGGGCCAGATGTTAAAATCCCCAAATTCAAGAAGCCCAAGTTTGGATTTGGAGCAAAAAGCCCCAAAGCTGACGTCAAGGCACCTTCCCTGGAGGTGACTGTTCCGGAAGCAGAGCTGAATGTTGAGACTCCTGAGGTTAGCGTTGGTGGCAAGGGCAAGAAGAGTAAGTTTAAAATGCCTAAAATTCACATGAGTGGTCCTAAAATGAAAGCCAAAAAGCAGGGTTTTGATTTGAATGTTCCTGGGGGTGAAATTGATGCCAGTCTCAAGGCTCCTGATGTAGATGTTGGTGTCACGGGGCCGGATGCCGCACTCAAAGTCGATGTGAAATCTCCTAAGACCAAGAAACCTATGTTTGGAAAAATGTACTTCCCGGATGTAGAGTTTGACATTAAGTCATCTAAATTTAAAGCTGAGGTCCCCAAAATGGAGGGTGAAATCCAGGCGCCAGATCTGGATATTTCTTCGCCAGGGATTGATGTGGAAGGACCTGACATCAAGGTGAAGGCTCCCAAGTTCAAGGTGCCAGGTGTGGATGTTTCAGGGCCAAAGATAGAGGGTGACTTGAAAGGCCCCAGTGTGCAGGCAAACTTGGATGCACCTGACATCAACATCAAGGGCCCAGATGCTAAAGTGAAAGCGCCATCTTTTGGCATTTCTGCTCCTCATGTCTCCATGCCCGATGTGGACATTAACCTCAAAGGACCAAAGATAAAGGGTGATGTCCCTGCTGTGGGACTGGAAGGACCAGATGTCGATCTGCAAGGTCCAGAAGCAAAAATCAAATTCCCCAAGTTTTCGATGCCTAAGATCGGCGTCCCTGGTGTAAAAATGGAGGGTGGTGGAGCTGGGGTCCATGCCCAGCTACCCTCTCTCGAAGGAGGCTTGAGTGCACCGGATGTTAAGCTTGAAGGACCTGATGTATCTCTAAAGGGGCCAGGAGTAGACTTGCCTTCAGTGAACCTCTCTATGCCCAAAGTCTCTGGGCCTGACCTTGACCTGAACTTGAAAGGACCAAGTTTGAAGGGAGACCTGGATGCCTCTATTCCCGGCATGAAGGTGCATGCCCCAGGGCTTGACCTCAAAGGTGTTGGTGGAAAGGTGGAGATGGGAGGAGACGGCTTAAAAATGCCGGGGATCGACGTCACCACAGCACTTAATGTTGGGGCACCAGATGTGACACTGAAGGGACCAAGCCTGCAGGGAGATCTGGCTGTCTCTGGTGATATCAAGTGCCCTAAAGTATCCTTGGGTGCTCCCGATCTAAGCTTGGAGGCGTCTGAAGGTGGCCTTAAACTTCCCCAAATGAAGCTGCCCCAGTTTGGCATCTCCACTCCGGGGTCTGACTTGGATGTTCACATCAAGGGGCCACAAGCTGCTGGAGAACTTCAGGGGCCAGGCATGGATGTGAACCTGAGAGGGCCTCAGATCTCAGCACCGGATGTGGACTTCAACTTGGAAGGACCAAAAGTGAAAGGGAGCCTTGGGGCCACTGGCGAGGTGAAAGGCCCCACCGTTGACTTCCAGATGCCTGGAATTAAATCCCCCAGCTGTGATGTGGACCTGCCGGGCGTGAATGTGAAACTTCCAACTGGACAGATTTCTGGTCCTGAAATCAAAGGCGATCTGAAAGGTGCAGGAGTGGGTTTCCACGGGGCTGCCCCCGACATCAGCGTGAAGGGGCCTTCCCTTAACATGGCCTCTCCTGAGGCAGATTTTGGTGTCAGCTTGAAGGGCCCGAAAATCAAAGGGGGTGTGGATGTTTCAGGGGGTGTCAGTGCCCCAGATGTCAGCCTGGGCGAAGGCCATGTGAGTGTCAAGGGCCCTGGGGGTGAGTTGAAGGGACCCCAGGTCTCCTCTTCTCTCAACTTGGATGCATCCAAGCTTGCTGGGGGCCTTCACTTCTCAGGACCAAAGGTTGAAGGTGTGAAAGGTCAGATTGGACTCCAGGGTCCTGGGATGAGTGTGTCTGGGCCTCAAGGTCACCTGGACAGTGGATCTGGAAAAGTCACATTCCCCAAGATGAAGATCCCCAAATTTGCCTTCTCTGGCCGCGAGCTGGTTGGCAGAGAGGTGGGAGTGGATATCAACTTCCCTAGAGAAGAGGCCAGTGTTCAGGCCAGTGCGGGAGAAGGAGAGTGGGAAGAATCCGAAGTAAAGCTTAAAAAATCCAAGATCAAAATGCCCAAGTTCAATTTTTCCAAACCCAAAGGGAAAGGCGGTGTTACCGGCTCTCCAGAAGCATCCATATCTGGGTCCAAGGGTGACCTGAAGAGCTCCAAGGTCAGCCTGGGCTCTCTGGAGGGAGAGGTGGAGGCTGAGTCGTCTTCACCCAAGGGCAAGTTCTCCCTGTTTAAAAGCAAGAAGCCACGGCACCGATCGAATTCCTTCAGCGATGAAAGGGAGTTCTCTGCCCCTTCCACTCCGACGGGGACTTTGGAATTTGAGGGTGGGGAAATGTCTCTGGAAGGCGGGAAAGCTAAGGGGAAACACGGGAAGCTGAAGTTTGGTACCTTTGGGGGATTGGGGTCAAAGAGCAAAGGTCATTATGAGGTGACTGGAAGCGATGACGAGGCAGGCAAGCTACAGGGGAGTGGCGTGTCCTTGGCCTCCAGTGACAGTGGGACTAAGGTCGGCATCCAGCTTCCCGAAGTGGAGGTGCAAGTCTCCACAAAGAAAGAGTAGCAGGCCTCTGTATGTGTGTACATATATATATATATAAACCACATCCGCCTTGGTGTGTTTGTATATAAACTCCAAGGAGAAACACACCGACAGCCTCAGCAATAATGCAGAGAGCATGCAGCAAGTGCTGCAGAACCACCCCTGTAGGCTCCTGTCGCTCTGCAGATGGGTGCAGTCCTGCGTTCTTCCAGCCCATGTGCAAAGTCAACAGTATTCGCCTTCAGACTTCAGTTGTTTATGCATTGAACGCTGAGAGCGCCTGTTTCCCAAGCCAGCTTTTGTGTTTATTATCCTCATTTTTACTGAACATTGTTAGTTGGGGTAGTGGCAACCGGCTTCTTCATTGTCATGACTTTTTTGGGACTTTTGTTAGTGAGGGAGGGTGGGCTAGAAGGCGGCAGAGGCGGCTGGGTCTCTGTTTGTCCCAGGATTGCAGCAAGCACCTGGAGGTGGCCTCAGGGAGTGGGCAGCCCAGGGTGAGTGGGCGTTAGACTGGCAGCGTGGCTTTCTCCCCTCTGGGCTAGCGGTTCCAGCCAGCGTGGTGCTCATGGTGAGAGGGAATTAGAAACTGTTTGCAGATTGTCAACCCACTAGGTCAACACGAGGGCTTCCAGACTGTATTTTGTAAGAGAAATGTTTTACTCATGACTGCCATGTTCCAGCTTAGTTGATTTCTTTTAACGAATACGCTCATGATTACAAGATTTTCTGGCACTTTAATGGCAAATGAATTGAGAATGTAAAAAAATTGATGCTGTCCAAGGCAAATAAAGCTGTTTATTAACCTCCATGTCTGGTGCATTTGCCTGCTGTGGTGGGGGGATGCAGCCCGGGGAGACTGCACACCCCACCCTCCTCGTGCAGACTCGATCTACCCAGTGGCATTGAGTGACTTTGCAGTGCTCACCTCCATGGAGGTGATGGGAGGAATTCTTGGCCTTCCGAATCCCAATTCTGCGAAGTCAAGGGAGGCTTGGCATGTTGGCAGCCCAACTCTCCCCCGACCCCCAGACCCATCCGCCAACTCTGCACCCTCGGATGAGAGTACGAGGTTCAGGAGTAGTTCTGAAGGGTGAAGGGAGGCCTAGCTGTGAGTCACCGGCTTGTCACCTACTGGTGGTGGCTTCCAGTCACCAGCTCCCTTGGGGCCTCAACTTGCTCTTTGAAATAAGGGCCCTGATCTCATATTAGGTGTCTTGATGGTTCCATCTAGTCCATTTTATGGCTAAATGGTGTGGAAAATCTCTTCTGGTCAAAACCCCCTTTGGATTTCTAGTTCTGCAGACAATATGTGGTGGCAGAGCCTTCTAGTGACTGGCTCTCATTATTGGTCATGTCTGGGGAAAGGGTGGTGCCTTTGTGTCCCACAATCAGACCAGGGGCAGTGTGGTGGCGCAGTAGGTTAGGCCACTGCCTGCAACTCCAACAAACCATATGGGTGCCGGTTCAAGTCCCAGGTGGCCCACTTCCAATCCAGCTCCAAGTGTTTGAGCCCTTGTACCCACGTGGGAGACCTGGAAGAATTATTTGAATATTCCAGCCGAGCTGCCCTCTCCAGTCCATCCTGGCGGTGCAGTTCTGCCAAGAACTGTGGCATCGCCTGTTCTTGCTTGGGTTTCAGCTGTGTATTCCCCGGCTTCATTCATTCCTACCTCAGCCAGCAGAACTGGGGGTTTACAGGCCAACCGTAGCTCTTGGCTTTGGAAGCAGCAGGTGAAGAGGGCGGTCCTTGATCTCTTGTTAATGCATTTCTTTAGATGACTGACCTGTGGCTGCTTTTGTGAGTTGGACAACGTAACTCCTCTGAACCTCAGTTTTCACACCAGTAAATTGGGAAAGTATTCATAGGACCAAAGGGTCCATTCAGGTGTTTGGGTCATGTACAGGCTGGAATATCCCCTTATCTGAAAGAACTGTTTCAGATTTTGATTTTTTTTTTTTACTGATTTTTGAATATTCTCAGTTACATAATGAGGTATCTTGGGGATAGGACTCAAGTTGAAGTGTAGAATTCATTTGTGTTTCATATACACATAACTTGAAGGTACTTTTATACCATATCTTAATTTTTGAAAAAAATTATTAATTTGAAAGGAAATTTCCATCCACTGGTTATTCCCCGAATGCCTGCGATGGCCAGGGTTAGACCAGGCTGAAGCTGGAAGCTGGGAGCTCAGCTCCGGTCTCCCACGGGGGCGGCAGGGACTCACCTACTTGAGCCATCATCAGCTGCCTCCCAGGGTGCATTCGCAGGAAGCAGAAATCAAGAGTGGAGCTGGGACTCCAACCCAGGTACTCCAGCACTGGAAGCGAGCGTTAATATTTATTTATTTGTTCGAAAGTCAGAGTTATAGAAAGGCGGAGGCAGAGAGAGAGAGAGAGAGAGAGAGAGAGAGAGAGAGTCTTCCATCTGCTGGTTTACTCCCCAGGTGGCTGGAGCTGCGCCAATCTGAAGCCAGGATCCAGGAGCTTCTTCCGGGTCTCCCACGTGGGCACAGGGGCCCACGGACTTGGGCCATCTTCTACTGCTGTCCCAGGCTCATTATCAGGGAGCTGGATCAGAAGTGAAGCAGCCGGGACTCGAACCAGCACCCATATGGGATGCTGGCAATGCAGGTGGTGGCTTTACCTGCTGTGCCACAGCGCCTGCCCCAGAAGTGAGCATCTTAACAGCTCGGCCAAACGTCTGCCCCTATAAAATATTTATAATAATTTTGTGCATGGAGGCAGATGTAGTGGCACAGTGGGTTAAGCTGACACTTGGAACACCTGTATCCCATACTGGGAATTTGAATCCTGGCTTCTCCGCTTCTGATTCAGCTTCCTGCTGATGCATCCTGGGAGGCAGTAGATTATCCAAGCTCATGCGCTTGGACCCCTGTCATCCACATGGGTGACCCGGGTGGCTCTCCTTGGCCCCCGACTGGCCTGGCCCAGCAGCACCACACGGCCAGGTGCTCTCCTGTTGCCACTGATCTCAAAATCATTTTCTGCTGACCTCTGTGAACTGAATGACATAATAGATGTGAAAACCAGAATGCTTGAAACACTGGAGGTACCATGGAAATAATCCACCTCCCAGGGACGACAGGTTCGGTGTCAATTCCTGAGTTCCCAGGGCGAGACCTCAATGGCTGGAGAAGGAACATGGCGATCGGACATTCAAGCTCCAGAAAACTCCTCATCACCCTCTCCTCACTTCAGGCCCAGGCTGGAGGCAGTGGTGACAGAACAGGAAACTTCCCTCTTGAGGCGACCATCGTCATAGAAAGGGCAGCATGGGCTGGAGTGACATGTGGAGGGCCTATCCCACCTGCCAGTCCTCCTACCTGCCAGTCCTTACTGCCCCCACCCACCCTGATCCCCCTCTTGCGTTCGCCACCTGCCTGTGCCCCCTCTCGGGGAGGTGGGATGTTCCAAGTAAGTCCTCCAGGGGCCCAGCTCACACGGCTGAGGCCTCTGAGGCCCCAGGTCCCGCGTTCCGGGTGACAGCAGCGTCGGGAGACCGGAAGGGATTGGGCTGGGCTCTTCTGTGTCCTTCCTCAGGAACTCCAGGCCCAAGGCTGGCCTTGTAGGCAGAGGGACTGTATGTGAACAGTGATGTGGCTGAGGGTGCGTCTGGAAAACCGAGCTACTCAGAAATGCACCATGGGCTTGCAAATGTGAAGAGTTTTCATAAACTTGAACTCATTTCTGCATCTGCCAGGCAAGCATCCCTCCAGCAAAGGTAGCTCCACTTGTAGACACTTTAGCCAAGAAGGCTTTCATAATGGGGACTGTTTGTGGACTCCTGGGGACACTGGAAGGCTGGTGGTCCCAACCCTGGGCCTGAAGGGGCTTGGGGAAGAAACAGTGTCCCAGAGGGCAGTGCGAACAGGAGGTAGAGGAAGGACCAGGCAGTATCAGCAGGGTGGTAGGCTGGGGAGTGTGGGGTGGGCAGGACCAGAGCATCTGCTAGAGGTGTGGCAGCAGGGACAGGGCCCGGACCTCGCCTCCTCCTGCTGAGGGGCCAGGGAGCCCAGGTGTTGCAGGCGATCAGCCTTGGGCCCAGAGCAGGGCAGAGCAGGAGGGGGAAGCGCACAGAGGTGGAGGGGGCCGACCGCACCCAGGACGGTGTTTCAATTCTCTTTGCTGTTTGCAAAGCTTGAATTTTTATATATCGAGGTTTCATAAAATAGCCACAATAATATGGTTTATGTTTAAGGTGGGGTCATAAAGTAAAGTGATACTTAAAGTGCGCGTGCACACACATACACACACACCTCCCAATGGCTGTTCTGTTTTCAGCTACACACTTGCTGGTGTGAAAATGCTACTGCTAAGAGTAATATTGTTCCCCGTCTTTTGGAACTGCCCTCAGAATCACTTGTACGTAAAAAAAAAAATGATTTCCAGCCGGCGCCGCGGCTCACTAGGCTAATTCTCCGCCTTGCGGCACCAGCACACTGGGTTCTAGTCCCAGTCGGGGCGCCGGATTCTGTCCCGGTTGCCCCTCTTCCAGGCCAGCCCTCTGCTGTGGCCAGGGAGTGCAGTGGAGGATGGCCCAAGTGCTTGGGCCCTGCACCCCATGGGAAACCAGGAGAAGCACCTGGCTCCTGCCATCAGATCAGCACGGTGCGCCGGCCGCAGCGGCCATTGGAGGGTGAACCAACGGCAAAGGAAGACCTTTCTCTCTGTCTCTCTCTCTCACTGTCCACTCTGCCTGTCAAAAAACAAACAAACAAAAAATAAAAAAAATGATTTCCTTAGGGGAACACAAATCTTTTTTTTTTAATTTTTTTTTTTTTGACAGGCAGAGTGGACAGTGAGAGAGAGAGAAAGGTCTTCCTTTGCCGTTGGTTCACCCTCCAATGGCCGCCGCGGCTGGCGCGCTGCGGCCGGCGCACCGCGCTGATCCGATGGCAGGAGCCAGGAGCCAGGTGCTTTTCCTGGTCTCCCATGGGGTGCAGGGCCCAAGCACTTGGGCCATCCTCCACTGCACTCCCTGGCCACAGCAGAGGGCTGGCCTGGAAGAGGGGCAACCGGGACAGAATCCGGCGCCCCGACCGGGACTAGAACCCGGTGTGCCGGCTCCGCTAGGTGGAGGATTAGCTTAGTGAGCTGCAGCGCCGGCCGGGAACACAAATCTTCTGCTCTTGATCTTTGCAAACAGCCAAAGGGCCTGGAAAAAACTCTGGGGTTCCCAGGACAGACCCATGGTCTGGAAGTCTGGGATCAGCTGTGGTCTTGTGCAAACGAAGGCCCCTGTCTGAACCTTGTTCTTAAGATTTGTTTATTTAAAAAAAGACATTTATTTATTTATTTACTTGGCAAGCAGAATGACAGAGAGAGGGAGAGATCTTTCCTCCTCTGATTCATTCCCCAAGTGGCTGCAACAGCCAGGCCTAGGCTAGGCCAAAGGTAGGAGTCTGGAACTCCATCTGGGTCTCCCACATGGGAGACCATCTTCCACTGCTTCCCCAGAGGCATTAGCAGGGAGCTGGATCAGAAGTGGCAGAGCCAGGACTTGAACTGGCTGGGCCGTATTTATTTTTATTTATTTATTTTTTTTACTTGTCACATGGATAAAGCATTGTCTGGAGTCCTTGCCAATTCTTTTTTTTTTTTTATTTTTTATTTTTTTTATTTTGACAGGCAGAGTGGACAGTGAGAGAGAGAGACAGAGAGGGAAAGGTCTTCCTTTGCCGTTGGTTCACCCTCCAATGGCCGCCGCTGCAGCCGGCGCACCGCGCTGATCCGATGGCAGGAGCCAGGATCCAGGTGCTTTTCCTGGTCTCCCATGGGGTGCAG